GTTTTAATTATGCCTTGTCTGAACAAGTCAAATTCAAGTCATGGTTTGCAGTTCAGACTTGTTCAGTTGAACCATTTAAAATAGCTGCAGTTCCCAGTTTCAACATAACAAACTGCAGGTAGCTGAAAACAGGAAGCTGCCTTAACATCAGGTCAGACTGTTTCTCCATCTAGTGTAGTATTGTCTACTCTGACTGGCAGTGGCTATCCAGGATCTCAGGCAGAGGGTCTTTTGTAGCACCTGCTGTTTGGTTCTTTAATTAGAGGTTTCTGGGGATAGAAACCAGGATCTTCTCAGTGCTTTGCACAGCAATGGTGCCTCCCTCAACACATTTTTCAGGTATGACCAAGATAAGTTCTCTAGTACATTATAAGTTGTTGTTTTTCCCAAAGGCCTCTGTTGGTAAATACTTTTTTGCATAGTCAATAGTACCAGTCCAAAGACAATTTTTTGCTTTATGCTCACAAATTCTATTTCCCTCTCTTTAAGTAGATTTTACGGTGTATTTTCTCTCTCTCTCACTCTCTGTCCCCACCAACTTTTACAGGATTATGTATATAATTATCCTATAAATATCTGGAACATATGGGAAACTTTAATCCATGCAGAAGAACAGAGCGTTATAAAAATGAAGATGACTATGAACATTCGGAGTTTATTAATGGCAAGCTTCCCATTCCCTATCATGTATTCTGTGCTGCTGAGTTACTGTGAAATTATAATGAAATCATACTGTGAAGCGGGTATCAAACACAACGAGGAAAGGGTTTCACTGCTTTACAAAGGATTTGCCGTTAATTAGCTCTTGTATACATACACAGTCAACAAAAAAGAAGAGCCTGATATCTGTAAAGGGATGAGTCGAAAGGAGAAATGCGCTTTTGTTCAATTGGAAGAAAAGGATGAAGAGAGTTAATATCCCCACACTGTTTCGTGCAACCGTCTCTCAGTGGGGAAGACTTGGCTAATTAGCTCCTGTTAGTTAAAAGGGGAAATGTGGAAATAAGAAAGACCTTCATTTAGGGTGTAAATCAGTACATACATCAGATTACACCAGGAAATATTAAAAACACAGTTTCCCCATGCTGACTACATCTGCCATATTATGATTGTTCATCTACCAGGAAAATAGAAAATTGTTCACATTGGCTTACAGGATTCTTTTGCTCTTAATTACACCTTGAATGCCTACTGTGAAAGCTGAAATGCTGGCAATGTTTTCCCCAAATACAATCATGCTGCTTGGTTTTGAATATTGTACCACACACAGTTTGCCATGCATCTGGCCCGACGCCTTTCATTTCAGTGCTCAGTAAAATGCAAAGCAAGAAAACAAACTACAAAATCCCAAGTGATTACTCTAGAGTGTCAGGTAGTCACCACCTATGATCTGTTCAGATATCACAAGGTTGGGTCATACCTCAGTTGCAAAAAGGTCTCAGACTGGAGGGCTAGAAAGACCTTGCTTTCCCCAGGGCTTTGCAGAGCAGGAAAGGCAGTACTGGCAGATGGAACAATGGTCTGACTTGGTGTGAGGAAGCCAGTTTATATGTGCATATATGAAGTTTTGTATGCCTTGTAACTGTGAGATACAGCTGCCTTTATTGCACATATAAGTGGACCCGAAGCAATTCGTGTTGCATGTGAGTTTTATATACCAGAGGCACCCTAGTCAATCTTTTATTTAGTTATTTTGACAATTTGTACACAACTTAATGGCAATTGTCTTTAAGCCATGTAACAATATAAAACAAAGTCAGTTAAAAATATAAAATCAGAATTTAGGTAAAATCCCTGCTGAAGTTAAAAAAGAGAATGGCTTCAGTAATGCTGCAAGTTCAAAAGCAAGGGGCTTGTCTGACCTCAAACACAAGTTCCATAAAATTCCCAGGACTGAACACACCGTTTCAGGGGATATGAGCAGTGCATCTGAGCCATGGGGGACCACTTACAGTGACTTCCCCAAAGCCCCCAGTGATTGGGCTGGGATATAATGAGTTAGGCAATCCTTAAGGTATCCTGGACCCAGGAGTTAAGAGATTTTTAATTCATCTGCCCTCTATCTTGCCCTACTCAGGACGAAGTCATTGCCCCACCAGTTAATGTGACTGGCCTCATTCCCCAACCCCAGTGTGATCCATGCTAACTTTGTAAAACTGGTTGTCTGAATACCAAACAGCAAATGGTCTATCCCTGGAAGAGCTGTGGGAATGGGAAAAATGAATGGCAAACAGCTTCAGCATTTGACATCAGCAGGATGTGGCCTAGATGCCTGGAAGGAAGCAGGCTACCATCTCCTAACATCAGGCAGGAGTAGGTGAATTGGCCAGGTCCGTGAAATATCAAATGCTTCCTTGTGGCAGAAAGTGGCTTCAAGCGCATCAAAGGATGTGACTTTGAGGCCACTCTGTGGATGACTTTTGTTTAGTTTTGGTTGTTTAACATCTGCACGAAATTGCTAGATATGTTAATCTGGTTTATGTAGTAAGGTACTGTCATCATACTGATGACACCCAACCCTATTTCTCTGAGGAAATGCTGAACTAGTGGCAGAATTTCCTTTGAAACAGAAGTGGAAAAATATAACCTAAAACCCAACACACAGTTATGTATAGTTTCTTCTGATGCTCAAGATTGTATTCTAAAATTAAACAATTATTATAAATTATTTTAATTGCTGAATTATAGCTTTTTCATGGTTACTGCCCCACCTCCTATTTTAGCCGTTCTCCAATAGTTGGGAATTCAAAGGGAAGTGAGTGCTCAAAACTCCCTGGAGGTTAGGAGAAGATGGTCTGAGAACCGAAGCTCCAGCTGCTTGAAAATGCCAGGCTGCACTGCCATACCGTCCATGCAAGTCAGGACTAATTTTCTCATCATGATTTTCAGAGAATGTGTGGTAATGTAGCCTTTTCCCGGTGCAATAAAGCGTCGTCATCCAGAAACAACTGTGAAAAGTACAATAGAAAATCTTGGGGCAGCTAGGTGGGTGGGTAACAACAGTGAGCAGGCTGCAACCCATCTGCCAACTCACAGAAGCGCTGCCAACTAACTTTGGCACAGAGTCCTGCTCTCTCCTGTTCTCCTTGGCATGTGCTTCCTAAGCTGGTTTTAGAGTTGATGGTGCCATTCTGTGCCAACTGCCCTATGCTAGGGAATTTTCAACTGGCAGGAACTGAGCAACATCTGGCTCCTTAGTGTTACAAGTGAGTAAGACAATTAGGAAATTATTCATGCCCATAGTCTGCACCAGATCTATATGCTGGTATACACTAGTGTGCAATTACAATGCGATTACAAGCTCTAAACAGACAATTATATGTTTGGCTGAGTCTGACAATAGGGGGATCTTTAGGGGACTTCATGTGATCCCAGTCTTAAATCAAGAAAACAAAAGTGATCAAATCCAACCAGCAGTCTGGGATGCCTGAAATCTTTCTGACACCTGAAGGAGCTTTGCAGCATATCTGCTCAGAAGTAAGCACTGATGTGTCCACAAGGTATATCCCCAATGGACAAGACTGCAAGCCTAAGCAATTATGTTCTTCTGCAGCAGAGCAAAAGTCTTTGGATGTCACACAGAAAATAAATCTGTTGAGTCCCATTCCGCACTCACTCCACCTGCCCTGTTTTTTATGCCCCCTGTGCAGGATCTCTCTCTGTGTGCCAGGAAGGAAGTATATGGTGGCACAATGAGTTCACTCAAGGGCTGCAGTGCATTTGATTGGAAATTTCTTTTGAAAATACAAATATGTGTTGCTTCTTGATGATTTGCAATAACCAGGGCTGCTGTATGATCTTAACACATAATTCAAATATGGTACCAGACTCACCATATATAGTCTTTAGGCAAATTTCTATTTTGGTAACTCTAGTCCTTCAAAACCACACACAATTATTAATTAAATAAACAAACCAAGGATATTGAGACATTTTCAGAAACACACACTGAGCATATGTATTACTTTTCTACTTGAAAGACAAACCAGAGAGAACTAGGTACAATTCTTTATGAGGTGATGTTGATTTAAATAAAAAAAAGGTAACGATTAGTTTTTAGGTTAGAAAAGAATGCTTGAACCAGGAGGTCATGTTAACCAGTTTGAATTGCTGGATACAAATTACTAGTGAAGAGTTTATATTATTTTCATAGGGAAAGAAATGTTGCAATTGCTCTGAAAGAATCAACTGTATTTTAAAATCAATCAGATAATTATCATAGATTTATTAAATTAGGAAATCAGATGAACTTTGCATACTTTGTAAAAGCTGGTATCAACCAGCTATGTCTATGTTTGGTATTGGGGGTGGGGGAGAGCAGGGAATAAGAGGGGACAACAGTTATTCATGTTATCAATGTCCAATTTCAAATTCAATAAATATAGATTTCTTTTTAAAAGGGAAATACTCACAAACGTATATTTCATTTTTACTGTTGTGACTGTCCCCTCCACCCAAGAATCCTGGGTACTGAAGTTTGACAAGAAGGTTTAGAGTTCCCCATGGACCACCACAGTGGTACCTCGGGTTACAAACAGTCCTGCTTACGAACGCTTCGGGTTACAAACTCCACAAACCCGGAAGTAGGTGTTCCGGGTTGCGAACTTTGCCCCAGGATATGAACGCAATCTGCTTCCGGGGCCGCGGGAGGCCTATGTAGGGAATGCGTGCCTCGGGTTAAGAATGGACTTCCAGAATGATTAAGTTTGTAACCTGAGGTGCCACTGTACTCTCCCTCACAAAATGATTGGGTTTTCTGTGTAATCAATTTAAGACTTTGGTGAAGATATGGTGCATCTATATCTTCCTGTATTCAGTTACATGTGCTTCAGTCACCTTAAGCACTCTGAGGAACTTGTGAGGAGTTGCAGACAAGAATCAGCCTGCACACTGGCCAATCCATTTTCCAGAGCAAACTGGTTAGCACGATTCTCCCCTACTGTATAAAATATAGAAAAGGGCAAGAAGAAGAACAAAAAAGCAGGGATGACGGATGTTACCTAGCGTGTTGTAGTAAAGTGGACTGGCGTGTCCACGGATAGTAAATGCAGTCATGACTAGAGGGGCCTCTACACCTGCAGGCAATTACAGAACAGAAAATATCATTCACCATTCACAGGGGCCATGCACACACAAGCGCCTTTGCCCACACATGGAACATGGGAGGTGTGGCAAGAGGAGCGAGTGCTCGGCAAGTACCTATCCATGAAACCAATGCAGTCCTCCAGGCGTGGGCCTATGCACCTGCAGCAAATCCCGATGGAAGGAAGGAGAAAGAGAGAAAAAACATGCATTAGCCATTGCGTAGGCAGGAAAACAAAGACTCTGCATTCTGCCTTGGTCCAGGCAGTTGGTTATCATTCTCAGAATTAACCAAGTTGTCATGAAATCATTGCTGGGAACATTTTTTCAGTGCAAGATATCAAGCAACAGAGAACAAAATGAGACTGGCCAGGCTGTGGTTTTTGAGCTACTTACCTTCTAACAGTTCATTGTGGCATTGCGAAAATGACCAAAGACATGGTTTACCTGCTAAGGTGAGAGACCTACCGAATGCTATTTTCTCAGAGCAGTTGCTTAATCCAGCAGATTGATAGACAGTCATTAGTGACTGCAGCAGGGGGTTAAAAGACAAGAGGCACACAACTAAATCCATTTTAAAATCTTATCTTAAATAGCAATCTGAGTGTGAAAGTGCAATGAACCTAGCCGTTGGCAGATTCCTTGTTCTTTCCACTTCATTTCTTACCTTGTTTTCATTTGTCAAAACTCCTATTTTTATTTTCCCATATAAACTGCCAAAACAGGTGGCTGCAGTTGTCTTAATAGATAGATGAACTTAACTGTATCCTACAGAAACTAGGTTCAGGTAAATTATAGCAGCCATGGAAAAGAAAGCTTCCTCTGGGGTGTGAGGTCTGGTTTTAAACACCACTCCAGGTATTAAAAGAAAGAAAGAGGATTCAGATGGGCGCCTGGCAGTTCAGTTGTTTTGGGCTTCAAGTGTTTGCATTTCATCCAGCCACTGAGCTTCTGGCAATATTTCTTCTTCAGAGGCCCTCTCTGCAGTTCCCATGAAACTGTGCTGATAACAAAAGAGGATGCAAACTTCTACCGCTTCTCTTCTGTAGCACATCAAAAGAAGCAGAGCATGGAGGCATTCTTTAGCTATTTAAAAATGCCTTCTATGGATGCCGAAGAGTCCATTAGCCATCTAGGGAACTGGCTGGCATAAAAGGGGAATCTCTCACCTTGGAGTCTTTCTCGCTTTTCTGCTTCACATATTCTCAAAGCTTCATGAACATGGTTGCATTTTTTGGGGGGGGGACCTCACCTGTTGTCTAAGTTGACAAAACCTTTCAATTTAAATGCACAGAGCCTTCTTCTGTTTTAAACGTTAGTTTTCTTTGGAAAGAAACACACACTTCAGAATAAAGGAAGAATAAAATAAAACAAAACACCCCCCTACTTCTGTTGAGTACCTTCACTGATCTAACCTGATCTATACACGTAAAGGAGAAAGAGAACATTGTGCACTGCGAGGTGATGGAATGTGTTCCTTAGTCATTGTTCTCAAAATGCTCACATTCCTTTTATTCTTGAAATGTGCCTACCGTACAAAACATCTGAGGTGGGTTTCAAAGGGTGCCTATGTATGTTGGTGACAGCTTTCCACGCACAGTGCCCATCTCATCCAGCATCTCTGGCTGGCTGAGGAACTTGAGTGCTGTAATGAAAGAAAAGCTCTCCTGCACATCCAGGGCAAATCCACGGGGAAACTGGAAAAACACAGACTTGAAGAACAGAGAGGAGCTGGCACAGTTTTATTGAGGGTGATGGATATACTATACAGGACATTCCTGAATGAAAGGCTAGCATCTAGGTTTTTTAAAGTGCTGTTCTGTTGAGTGGCATAAGGAGAAAAGGCCACCTCCATCATTTGAAATGTCTACTATTGGCTACAGTGGGAATCAACTTATTGATTTGGAAGTGGGGAAGGGTACTGCCGTTTCCTCATTAATTTGATCTTTTTAAATAAAAAAATCCACCTTAAAATGTAGTATTTCTGTATTTAAATTCTTAGATAAAATTCTCTCAAATATGCATTTCTAATCTCAAAATATGCATTTAAGAATATATTTTATCTGAGTGATACAGGCAGAGATTAGTGAGGACAACAGTGGCTCACAATTCTATGTGGCTCAACCCACCTCTGCCTTCAGATGCCGTGCTGTACTTACATACAACAGTGCATTCTGGGAGAACTGAAATGGAGGTAGGGGCAAGGTCAGTCACAGGAACCTGGTGCCCCTGTTTGTGCCAGGCAAATACAAAATGGGATTCCTTGCTGGACCTGATGTCAATAGTTGTGGACCCTCCTGGAGCAACATGGCTCCAGAATTCGCTTTAGCATGCCATGTGCTGCCAGTGAGTTTGCTGGTAAGTGCAGATCAGGTCACTACTTGCAAATATAAAATTCCTCAAGAATCTCTACTCAGAAATCATTGTTCCTGTTTAACTGAAATTATTCCTATTTTTGTGCTTTTAAAAGCTGTTTTTCTTCTGTTTTTGTACATCATCTTGAGACATACATGTGGAAGGAGAGTAATTATTTGGTAAATAATAATACATGAAGTAGCATTCCAACCATTCCTATTGTGGGCCAAATAACCAAACAGGTATCACATTCTGATCACTGCTGATATTATTTCCATTTGCTTTGTACATGGAGGAAAGAAACATTAAGTGCTGATTTCTATTGTGAAGCCAGGAAGCTGGGGTGGTGGTGGTGGTTATGAGTTGGAAAATGGGAAAGAAAGAAAAAGGGAGGGAAAATACTAATTCTGTCTCAGGGCATATCTAAATGAGTGCCTGACAGATGAGACATTAAATCTAGATTTCTGGGGCATTCATTATGACCACTCAGTTTCCTATTAATACTGAGTGACAGAAGTACATTTAATATAGGGAGCAATCTTCATAAAAGTATGAAGGAAAGTGTTGCTGAGTGGTACCTTGTTGCATTTTTGTTTTGTTTCGTTTAGCCATAAGATTAATATATTCCCCCCATTTAGCTGCTTCTTTGTTCATCTGAGTCTAGGGTATTCTGAGTGGTGGCAAGATACCATGTTTTACTTTTAATGATGCAAAGATCAGGAAGTTATCAGGAAGCACATTTCACTGAACCAAAGCCAAACCACCTGCTACAGAAGGTAATTTTCCAGGGGTTTCAGAGTAGGCAAAGAGAAAGTTGGCAAAATTACTGCTAATGCTGTCATTTTTCATGGTTTGGCAGTCCTAAGAAAAACCGCGTGTGAATTCTTATAGGAAGGGCTAGCAAAACAAAGATTCCTGTAGCAAAAGCAGCAGAACTGGGGGATTTGTTCCATGTGCTCCTTTATGAAGAGGGATACACATTTCATTCTCCATAGCCTCCAGAAGCTCCAGCAAAAGAAATAATTCATGACACAACATATTGAAGAATATTACTTTTGCCTGGAGAAATTTCCTTCGCTGTCTGTCTGATTGTAAGGACTGAATTTCAACTTACAAATGGGTTTGGCCAACAATTTTTTTCCTGGTGCTGCTTGTATGCTCAACAGACTGCAGAAATTTAGTAAGTTATTCTCTCCTCCACTCCCCACATCATAGAAATAAAGGAGGGAGAAAAAATTCACCAGCTAAATTCCTACATGTCAAGCTGTACTTAAGGCTTAGGAGCAGAACCAGTAAAATCTTTAGGAGCCTACCTATATAAATGGATAAAAAATAAACTTTGCATGGCACTATCACTATATGAAGCATTCCCACTCCTTTCCACAATGGAATAATAAATGATATCATGTCCTACATGAAATCACATTATCTCTTCTCTCATAGCAAGTGAAGAGCAGACCAAGTGTTTTCACTTCATTTCACATCTTAGCTAAGCTACCTGGAGCAGTTTGCAATGTCACAGTTCCATCTTGAGTTAAAATGTAGTATTTAAATGTTGCACAAACATTCTGTTAATGGAGGACACCATTAGAAATGCTCTACACCTTTCTCTCTCACCCCATATCTGTTCCGTTGCTTCGTTCCAATAGTCTCCCAATTATATAACCCAGATTTTAAAGGGCCAAATGGAAGATGCCTCTGCAACAGATTCTGGCAGTGTCTCTGCGATCTTACTTTCATTTCCCTAATGGCTCTGTTGTAATTAGATTTGCAAAAACAGCAAAAGGTCTCATTTTGAATGGCAACAGCTGTTGACATCAACATTTTATTGAATAATTTACTGGTTTAATTTTAGCTGCAAAACAATAAAAGCCTCTTGTGAATGATTATTTTACAGGATGAAGATTTTGCTGTTGTTGCCTCTTGCTTTTGGCTGGGCATAGCCAAACTGGCTCACTGCAGAGAAACCATCTTTAACTCAAGTGGCCCATATTAAACGTTCGCAGCTCACATTACTTCAGCTGTTGCAGTGCCAGCTTTCTTTATGATTATGCTAAAGTCTATATTCTGCATGCTGAACATTGGCATTTGAATATGCACTGATTTAGACTCTTTGCTATATGTAATGCATATCGTGTAAAAAATAAGCAAGGCTCTGACTGTAGATCATTTTCCTCCAAAGATGGGTAGAGAAAGCTGGCTGGGATCATAGAGCTGCCGGTCCCATTTATCAGTTGTTGTCTATGTTCATAGCTCTCTCCTTTAGAGACCAATTTTCTCTAGGGGCTGGGAGGGAGAGGAGAGGGGAAATGAGCTGATGAGAAAGATAAGAAAAATGGAAGGGATGACTCCATGATTCTGCTATCCCCTCAAGCTTCCTCTGCCTTGTCTCTAGGGAAGTCTTCAGAATTCTTGGCCAGTCTGAAGCTGGAGATGTCTTAAGTTACGTTCAGGTGTGTCCTATGGAAGATAGAGCACCCTGAACCAAGTCAAGTTACTAAGCATAATGCTAAGCACTGAATGAGCTATTTATATAGCAGGTAGTGTTCTGCCACAGACCAATGTTGCTTTCTGGGTAACCCAGATATCACTATGGGCAGATGCTGCTAAAAGGGTGAATGATTATGCAGTGAAATGCAGTATGGGTCAATCAGCAAGCCCAGTCTGCTTGATCTGGGCCACCTTGCTTGTGCGTGTATGTGTGTCTTCAATGGTTCATTCAGAAAGTAATATTACAGTTCTTCAGCCATAAGCACTATCTTTCGAAAAGCATCCCACTGAAGTCTTCTGGAAGCAAGTCCTTTATTTTTAACAATGTCCCATGACATCTGCTCAGCAAACATTACCAACTGCATTATGGTACTCAGAACCAAAGGAAAAGCTCATAAATAAATATGAATGAGAGTTTCTGTATTTGTATTGGGGTTGCTTCATCCACAAATGTGCACCATTCACAAGGGGCATTCAACAGAAAACAAGAGCCATTTTAATAGGTTTAGAGGAGAAGTGTTAAACACTAGCCATTGGAACATAACAACTGAAGCGGAAATGTAATCACAGATGCCTAAAAGCAAAACCTTAGAAGATTATGTTGTTTTCCAGATATAGATGGGGATATTTTTCATCAAACAAACTATTTTGGTCACACTTTATTAAATTAGTACAGTAGCTGTATAGCTGTGGTATATGAAGGAAAAAATAGTGAATGGATATTCCAATGTAAGGCATAATCTTTATGCATTTTTATAAAATCTCAAAGGTCAGAGACATTCGAACAAAAACTGACTTCTGCATTTATAATGGCGCTATCAATATAAACAGCATTTTATCAAACTCAGGGACCTAAAGAGTTGGGTATGTTTAGCCTGGATAAAAGAGGACTGAGAGGAGATATGATTGCCATCTTCAAATATCTCATGGAAAATGGAGCAAGCTTGTTTCCTTCTGCTTCAGAGAGTAGGACCTGAACCCATGGCCTCAAGTTTTAAGAAAGGAGATTCTGACTAAACATCAGGAATAACTTTCTGATGGTAAGAACTGTTTGACAGTGGAACAGACTCCCACAAGAGGTGATGGACTCGGCTACATTGGAAATTTTTAAACAGAGGTCGGATGGCCATCTGTCCTGGATGCTTCAGTTGAGATCTCTGGATTGCAGGAGGTTGGACTAGATGATCCCTGGGGTCCCTTCCAACTCTACAATTCTATTCTTAAAATAAACAATTTTAAAGTATCATTTTGCACACTGGCATCCATGCAACCTACACACAAACACTCACTCTCTCACTCTATGGTACAACCCAGTCAAAGTCAAGCATGAGCTTCACTTTCCCAGTGAAATCACGGAGTCTCAAAATGCTCAACTTAGAATGTACCTGGCTCTGTGTATATATTGCACAAATACCTACAGGCTCACACAGACTCATATTGTTAATAAAATCCAATCTACAAATATAAACAAAATGGGAAATTAAGACAGGCAGGCAAGCATACATTTCCTATTCTGTAGATATTTTTTTAAAAAAATAACAACACACATTAACAATATTTTAAGCAAACATTGGGAAATATGGGGAAATGGCCATTACTTAAAGTATATAAGCTTACCCCTGAGTACAGTTTGGATGACAAGAGTGACATTCACGGTCTTCATCAGCATATTTGAATATGAAGCTGTTTGTCCCTTGTACACCATCAGGGCACTTTTCGACGCAGTTGGGGCCATCTTTAAAATGGAAGCACTTGGTGCACTGGTCTGCTCCCTACACAGACAAAGGGAACTACAGTGTTCAGATCTCTTCCCAGGAGCTACTGAGGATATACCAAATATAGTGACCAATTTTTTTTGAAGCGCAAGATCTCTTAGTTTCTTCATGGGATCCATCTGCATTTTTACTTTTATGGCTCATACTGAAGCCCTTGAAAAGCAGCAGGGCTGCCTGCTTCCCATGCACTGCTCCCTCCCCCCAATTCAAGAACTTGTACTGGATTTTATTTTTCTTTCTTTGAAGGAGATGCAAGCTAACACTCACCCAGCCCTGTTTCCCAACATAACAAAGCAAAACAACCCCCCCCACCCCCAAACCCTTAATATAAAACTTAAAACACATTTGTGGTTATGTGTTGGAGTGTACAACCAGCCATTTGGAACAGTTAACCATAAAATAAAATATAATTAAGAATAAGGTATATGTAGCAGCTATCTGTTACGGTATAATCCTGCTGCCTCTAGATTGTTCTCACCGGCCCCCGGCAGGTGATCCTCCTGTTGTCCATCTTCTCGCACTGAGGGTCGCACTCCACGCAGACAGAACCATTTGCAAACTCCCTGTATTCCCTGTGGAAAGAGCAGGCGGGTTAAAGATGCTGGAGGGTCCAAACAGTAACTGGGCTGGTTTAATTTTTGATGCAAACATGACTGCTCTGCCAGCGAGGACACTCATCTCCCCTGAGAGTCCCGCATTGCAGGGGGTGGACCAGATGACCCTCAGGGTCCCTGCCAACTCTGCAATGCTATGAATTGATGATTCTACCAAACCAATCTCTCCTCTGGTTTTATCCAATTTACTTCCCACAAAAATATTGGTGGCTTGACGGCTGAGAAGACCGAGAATGAAGATGTGCCCCTGCTTTTTGTTCACAGTTCCTAAAAGCAAGGATGCTGAGAGATTTCGTGTAGTGTGTGAAACTCTGAGCATGGAAAAGTGGAGGCAGCACCTACCTAGATAAAAAGACAAGTTTTGCAGATCCTGAAGAGGCTGCTAAAGGTTGTGATGAATTTGATCACCACTGGCCTAAAGTCAGCCAGAATGGTTTCCTCCATCTCATGGAACTGTAACTTTGGCAACTTTTTTGTTACAACTTAAATAACTCTCACAAGTTATTCTTTTCTCTAGGGGAGAAAAAGCCTTATCCAAATACTATATACAAGAATTATCTCTGAGCTGCCTCTGAATTCATATCTTTGGAACTGCCATCTGTGTTAACATGGTGCTGTGGATGGGAATTGTGTAGGACTATTAACCCCTACCTTTCCATCCTGACAACAGTTTCAATTGCTCTGCCTAACACCAGGCAGACCTGAACTGGCCTAACAGTTGCCCATTCAGTTCCCAAACCCCTCTTTGCATACTAGATAGGTTTGTGATTCAAGGACCCTCCACCCGCTTGGGGATAAGAAAGAGACATGGACACAGTATATTAGGTTAATGGGCTAAAAAAGGTCACAACTTTACAGCATGTGAAAAGTATTGGCTTAGGCATTGGATAAAAGAAAAGAGCGTGACTCCACCCCCTCAGGGAGGGGTGAGTCTAACAAGGGTTAACCACCAGTGGGAGGAGCCTGTTGATGCAAATACAACTGAAAGCTCCCCCTGATGTCACTGGGGGTCGTGCCATGGCCCTGGCCACCAGCAAGGGCGTCGGACAGGATCCACGACCGCCGGATTCCTTTACCGGAATACCCATAAAGTGGAAGGGTAGGCAATGGCCACACCCTGCCCTCCAATACACAAACATATTCCAATGACTAACCGCCAATACCTAAACGTTGTGATGATTTGCTACGAGGTAGGCGAAAAACCAAGTGGCCGGTGCCGATTTGCCAGTTGGATAAAAATTCCTACCAGGCCCCTTGGACAACCAAGGCAACCAACCACAGGTCCATAGCAATGTCAAGAACCAAGCAGTGAACTAAAGGGAGGGTGGGTGGGTGGTCCGACGAAAACCAGCAGCGGAATAAAAGGGAAGTGCTGCCGCGGCCACATGTGAGTGGCAAAACCCCGCCCCCAAGCCTCCACCTGATTGGTTGGCTACCTCAGGGCGTGGCGCGGAAGCCAGGCCCCTGCCAACACGGGAAATGGCTCCTGCTCACAACTCCTCCCCTCTGTATGGAGGAGAGGCTTTGTTGCAACGCGAGGGAGGACATTGGGACAATGGCTGAAGCAGACTAATATTGTCTCCCTGCTCAGTTTTCCCATCACTGGTGAGTCTCCATTAGACAGATAACTCTAATGCTAAGTCTTGGGTAGAAGTGGCTCCTAGTAAAAAAAACAAACCCAAACCACCCACCCATTCTATTAGAATTCTGCTGGTCTGGAGAAGATATTTGCACAAGTCAAGCACTATGAGCACCAATTATTGGATCATACCATGATGCAGGGCTGGGGAAACTGTGGCCCTCCCAATGTTGTTAGAGCCCACCAGCTCCAGCCAGCTCGGTCTATCAGGTAGGGTGGGAGTGCAACTCCAGCAACATCTGAGAAGCCTCAGGTTCCTCTTTGCTGATATAACACTGTTTAGCTTTCACAGTTCACTGCTACCTAGGCACTGTACCACCCCGGCTGCTGGATAGAAGGGGAACTGCAAGCAATTTCAGCCAGTGTCTCATATCATAGACCATAGTCCTACTGGCCTGGGAGGATCAATCTGGTGCTGCCCAGTATAAAGATTCTTGGGTCTGGATACTTCCTCAGTCTAAGTAATGTCACTGTGGGACAACTGTTAGTTCTCACTAAGTGCACTGCTGGCTCTCAGTCACCCTTTCTCCAGCTGAGGTCTGACCAGTACCTAGCTGGTTTCCAGCCTGTCTCCTGTAACCTGGTTTGGGACGGCCCACCTCCAAGGTTCCTCACTCCTGCAATAATTGGAGCCCCATATACTTGTCCATCTTCTTGTTTTCTTAATGTTATGAGACTTTTGTGTGTCAACTGAGAGTTTGTTTAGACCTTGGGTTAGAACCTGTAGGCTGAGAGGGAAGGTGTGTTAAAAGGAAAACGAAATGATATTGATTTTTTTAATATATGAGTAACTTTGCATTAATGTAACATTTTTATATGTGACTGTGGTTTTTTTTGGTAATATTTTGTTTAAGTTGTCTGTTGCTTCAGTTTTCTGCACACAGCTTAGAGATTTTTAATATATTAAGCGGCATAAAAATAATCAACCAATCAATTCAAGAGATGAACTGCAGTACTCTATACGTAACATTAGCAAACCACACATTAAATGTATCATCGGATCAGGGCCATCTTACCCATAGGCGCTAGGGGTGTGGGGCCCCGGGCTCTCAGGGGCGCCAGGCCAAGAGTCCGGGCCCTGAGAGTTGCGTATAGGGAGCGCTGCAGGGGGCTCTTCTGCTGTGGGCGGCTCTGTGCCGCGAGTTCGGGTGTGACCGAGCCAGTGAGACCCTGAGGCGGCCGGACGGCTCCGCCCTCCTGCGCACCTGGGACTGGGCAACCTGGGGGGGCGGGTGGATCTTTGCACCCCAGCGCCACATATGCTTAAGACAGCTCTGCATCAGATTATCAGTTTTCATCAGTTTTAAGATGAGGGTCTCTCTTCCAACATATTTTCTCAATCACAACAAACCCAATGTGTCACCTCCCACTCCCACTTGCCTGCTCAGGCAGGCACAAAAGGACTATCATGTATGAGTAATAATAAACACGATGAGATTCCAGACATCCTGTGAACTGTAATGTTTTGAAGTGCTCATGCAGAGCTCATCTGGTTTGTTTTTTTTGCAGCACAACAGCAAGATCTGGTGAATGAGCCGAGAGACAGGCAAGAAAAAGAGCTATCTGAATGTAAATCTGTTTTCTGTATGTACTTTTTAGAGTCAGTGTGTGTGGGAATTCTGTGCAAAACTGGAGAAACAGAGCCAACCCACCAATTTCCTACTTTCAATGCTTAGCCTAAGGCTGGAACTACACTCTGGTGGCAGACTCAGTTCGGTGAGTTGGAGTCTCTACTAAAAGGCTATAAAGTGTGGGATAAACGACAATTTGCAGCAGAGAAGTGGCAGATGGAAGCGGATGCTGAAAGTTTCCCTGTGTAGATAGACAGAAATTTTACTTGCATCAGCCATAACAATAAGATAAAATATATTGGGGATAGAGCTAAATAGTCAGCTATACAAAACCCCACTTTACCCTTGTGCTCCTGAGCCCTGTGGATCCCTGCTTTCCTTATGAAATGGGAAGCAGATGTCAATACCTCAGTTACAGGGAAAGAAGCGAAAGGAAGGTGTTGAAGCATTCACTGATTGGCATCACACACTCGCACCTCTGTTGTAAAGTATATGCACTATGATAAAATGCAAGCTCTGTATATTCTCATGGGATGGGAAGCACAAATAGAACCCCAGTTTAATGTTGGAAGAACAATTATAAGGATGTATGACTTGGTAATCCTAACTATTGCAATGCAATGATCAAAAATAGTGTTAAGCTGGGGAGGGGGCACCACAGAAGAGCATCATTACCAAAGAGGACAATTATGAAGCATATAATTATAATTTCTTGAAACTCCACTCTTGGATATACATGAAGAGTCTTTATTGTCTGCAGTGTTGTTCTTGTATATCTAGAAGGACACCTTCTAAAATTACACCTAGGTAGATTTTACAAAAAGGTTTTTTGCTACAGATTTTGAAAAGAAAATCTTTCAGGGAAATTGGCTATGATTACTAGATGCTAATGGGTAATTTGGACTTCTTTCATGCATCCTCTGGATAGAACATCTCTTTTTCAGGCCTCACATCAAAAAGCAGTTTAGTGCATGCTTAATTGAAGCATGTTGACTACTTAAGTTAAATACACTTTCTAAAAATCAGCCCTAAGTAGGGGATATACTTTTTGTGGTGTGCAGGGTTTCAGGGTACAGAGGTAAGGGAAAGCTGAGTGTAGTCGGGCACACACTCTGGACTTTAAAATGGCCAATTTTGAAAAGCTGAAGGAGCTACTGGGTGCGATCCCATGGCCAGAATTACTCACAGAGAAGGGAGTCCAAGATGGATGGGAGTTTCTAAAAGGAGAAATATTCAAGGCCCAAACACAGACAATTCCAACAAGAAAGAAAAGTGGGAGGCATCTAAGGAAACCGGCGTGGCTGCATAAGGAGCTTTACAGATGAGCTGAGAGTTAAGAAGGGCATGTATAAGAAATGGAAGAAAGGGGAAATCACGAAGGAGGAGTATACTCGAGTAGCCAACAGTTGCAGGGGGAAAGTCAGGCTGGCTAAAGCTCAGAATGAGCTCAGGCTTGAAAGAGAGGTTAAAAATAATAACAAAAGGTTTCTTTGGCTATGTATGAAGTAAGAGGAAGAACAAGGAAATCGTAGGTCCTCTGTGTGGGGAACATGGAGAAATGCTACTGGGTGACAAAGAGAAGGTGGAACTACTCAACAACTACCTTGCCTCTGTCTTCACCCAAAAGGAAAGCGATGCCCAACCTGGTGATAACAGAATAAATGATGTAAGGAGGGAACTGCGGCCCAAGATAGGAAAAGAGGTAGTATGGGAACACCTAGCTACTTGAAATGAAGTCAAATCTCCAGGGCCTGATGAGCTGCATCCAAGGGTACTAAAGGAGCTTGCGGATTTAATTTCAGAGCCTTTGTCTATTATCTTTGAGAATTCTTGGAACAGGTGAGGTCCCTGCAGACTGGAGGTGGGCAAATATGTCCCCATCTTCAAAAAGATGAAAAAGGAAAATCCAGGTAACTACCGAGCGGTGAGATTGACATTGATACCAGGGAAGGTCCTAGAACAAATAATTCAACAGTCCATGTGTGAGCATTTAGAAAAGGATGCTGTGATTACCAAGACCCAGCATAGGTTTCTCAAAGTTAAGTCATGCCAGACCAGCCTGATTCCTTTCTTTCTTTTTTAATGGAATTACAAATTTGGTGGATCATGGAAGGAAGCTGGTAAAATGTGGGTGAACGAGGTAACTGTTGGGTGGATTTGTAGCTGGTTGACTGACTGAACCCAAAGAGTACTCATTAATGGTTCCTCGTCATCCTGGGGAAAAGTGACAAGTGGGGTGCCACAATGTTCCCTCCTGGGCCAGTTGTTGTTCAACGTCTTTATAAATGACTTGGATCACACAATGCTTCTTTAGCAAGGGATGGGCAAAACTACAGGGGAATCACCTCTTACGTGGGGGTTTTGTTCCTGGCCGCAGAGCATGCCATTCCAGCCCTCTTCCACCCCCGCTCCATTCTGTCATGTCCTCTTTCAGCACTGAAAATGGTGCGCATTTCAGTGGAAATGTGCATGCTAATTGTGTGAGAGTGGGGAGACGCCTGCATTCATCCAACCACCACAAATGTCCCCTTGTTCTGCTTTCCAAATACTGACATTCGATTTTGGGACCACTTCGTAGGCATCCATTTTTTTTTGCCGCTGTTGCTCATCCTTTCATAATAAAAGTACTAAGAAGCTATTTCAGATTGTGCTTATCAATCCCACACTTATTTCAGATTGTTCCAGACTATTGGTTTCAAAAGACTGGCTAGTTATTTTGCTTCATGCCGTGCTCCTCGGTCTCCCAATTCAAGGCTAATATCAGGCAAGCAAGCCTTCAAATCACAGACTGGGCTAGCAATTTCGCTTCGTGCTGGGCTATTTTTCAATATCGTTCCCATTTGATGGGCACATATGACTAGCTACTAGATATCATGTAAGAATCCTACATGGTGTCCAGCAATTATTGATTGCCTGCTGGTTGTTTGGGACATTCACCTGCAACGGCAAATTCCTTTGGGAGCAGAAAATCATGAATATTGATAATAATCTTATTTCATATGGGAATCTGAACCTAGCAACATGCTTGTTTAAATTTCAATATAATGAGTACACTTCTTGGCAAGCACAAAAAATGCAGAGGGGGGTGTCTTACCCATCATAAAGATTACAAGCCTTTACGCAGGTCCTTCCCCTGATGAAGTGTTTGCAGGACAAACATTGGTCCGGTCCTGGCCCCCAACATCCATTTCTTGAGCATAAATGGCTGCACACCATGCCCTCCGTAGCTGCAAAATAAAGAGAATAATAACAGTTGAAAATATACTTAACTTCTAAATGGTAAGCATTGTTCCCAAGTGGAAAAAGCTGGTTTCCACCACCATCAATGCCACCCTCCACTACAGTCGACTCACACCTTACGCACATCTAACACGTGCGCTTTCAACTTGATCCAGTTGAAATTGCACAAATTAAATGCATGGAAGGCAGAGAAATTAAAAGTTATTTCAGTACTGGGTTTTCCCAGAGTCCAGTAAGCAACTCTTGAGATCTTAAAAGTAGCCATTGTGCACTCAAATGCTGTGCCGTACTTTCTGCAGGACACCCCCCCTTTTTTTTACTACCGGTATATGTGATTTCAGCTTTATGAGCTGTCCCTGCAATGTAACCCACATGTAAAATGCAAGCCGACTGTATATGAAAAAGGAAAATGCAGGGTGAAATCTCTCTGCAGGGAAGAATTCCTTCTGGCTTCAATTTCCAATGACTCTCGACCAGAGCATGGGGTGGTATGGAATGACCTCCCCTAATAAAGGCCTGTCTTGCTACATCATTGTGTTTCAGGAGAGAATATGAAAATATACCCAACAGACAGACGTGGGGGCAATTACTAAGATAATTACTACAGCTGCTTCTCATTTTCTGTTCAAATTGTGTATTTGGACTTTGCTGTGTGATTTGATATGCAGTATTTTATTGTTTTCTATATTAAGGCCTGAGGTGATGTGTAAATGGAAAGGCAGTTATAAATAAACAAGCAAATAAATCAAATGCCTGTTGTTATTTAGCTATTGCATTTTAAAGCCCACCTTCCCTCCAAGGAGCTCAGGATAGCACCTCCATACATCTCCTCACAACAACCCTGTGAGGGAGAAGTTAGGCTGAGAGCTGGTCACCTTTCAACCATACTTACCTGGGGTGGTGCAGCTGGTGGCAGCAAGAAGAGAGGGAACAAGGGAGGTCCCTCCCTCCCTCCCTCCCTCCTTGGGTGCCTGGTATGTTCTGCTCCATCACACTAGAGCAGGGGGCGGCAAGGTTTACCTCGCCTGGGCCGGTTTCACTCCAGTGGAGATCCCTCCGTGGGCTGGATCGCACGTGAATGGCGCGATTTTTGGCATCTGCACAGACACGATTTTCGGCGTCTGAGCATGTGCAGATGCAATTTTCCCACGCTGGTTTAGCGCAGCGCACGGAGACTCGCTGAACAGGTGGTTCAGTTCAGGGGCGGCTCGTGAGCCAGTTAAATGACCCCCGTGGGCCACTTGTGGCCCATGGGCCTTAGGTTGCCGACCCCTGCACTAGAGTGCTGGTGCCAAGGTCTCAAGTAGTTACGGTACTGTCATGTCAGTAGTCCTCAGGAAAGCTACATTTCCCTGGAGCTATCCGAGCCTGGAACCCTCTCGATGCCCTGCTAGGCACAAGAGAAGGAAGGGAGAGACTATTCATCTCCCCACAGCTGCTTGCTACTGAACATGCCACCTGCATGAGCCAGCAAAAGGCCTTAAAGAGAAGGCGGTGGCTGGTGATGGTGGTGAGTAGGATAAAAGTGGGACAGGAACCAGGGTAGGCCCAGAAGTGAGCTGAGCTTCCCCCTGGCGATGTGGCTTATATCTCAGCCATTCCTATGCAAGCCACATGTGGCTCATCTACTTCTACGGATAATAATTACTGTCTGATGAGAAATGTGTTTTCATTAAATAGAAAGGTGACATCACTGCTCTTGCTCAAACTCCCCCCACCCCACTCAAACTTTTAACAGCCCCAAGCACGCTTTGAGATGTAGCATCAGAAGATCACAAAGCAGCACTCTGGGCAACTGGTTTTCACCTCCATCTCAGATCATCAGATAAGCACAAGTCCAGACCACAGCCATTTCCAAAATGGTTGTCAGGGCTCAATGAAGTGAAAAACAACAACTAGTAAGTTCGGTTTTCCTAATTTACTTGAAATTAAAATTAAATAAAAAAGAAAACAAAAAGGATCTGTAAAAACGAGAGCAACACACACAGGTATCATATATGCTACAGAACACACAGATGTAAAGTCTAGAAAGAAGAATTGCACTCTAGAGTACACCTAACATTCCAGATGCAAGAGGCAAGAAAATGCTCTCCAAATTTATTTATTTCCTTCTAGTAGTTGTTACTTCTTCTTCTTGTTGTTGCTGCTGCTGTTCCACCAATGCTCAATATGCATTCAATTTATAATGTTTACTTCATAATGTGATTTAAAAGCATGTGCAATTCCTTCATCTTATCTTAGCTGGGGGGAGTGGGGGGACTCTGACTGCCTGACTTAAAATGATGGGTTGCAGTCCCAAAAGATTTGTTGCAGAAAGTCCCTGCCCCTTTCCTTCTTGTGTTCTCTGTGGTTCTACTTATTCTGCACAATATCATGGAATCTTACACGTTGAGAAGTGTTTACTCTGTATTCCTGGCACCAGAATGAATGGCTAACTGTGCCTCATTAACAAATATACCGAATATCTGTCATCCAAGTGTACTAGGCACTTAAGCATATTATTACTTTCATATAGCTGTTCCTTCCTCAACTCTCTGCTTCACTCTCCTCTTTCATCACAGAGCTGCAGTCTTCAGCACTGGCTATGTTTTCTCCAAATGCCCCATTTGAGCTATACAGCATCCCTTGCCTAATAGCATTTTTTAAAAAAAATGTTCTTATTGTGTTTCAGAAGAACAACACTTATGCCTGATCTCAGGATCTCAGATCTCAGGATCTGTCTTGATCTGTCTGGATTTCAGCCTCCTCAATATTTCCAGAAGGAGTTTAGTATCAATATGGGATGAGAGAGAAGCAAAGGGGTGGGAGTGATCTTTCCCAAAGGGTCCATCTTCCCTATTCTAAAGTTGAAACAACCATCACCTCCACTCCGTTTGTAGCATGTTCTTCCAGCCTTAACTCCAACCTTAACACCCACCTCTCCCGAGGGAGAAAATGATTGAAAGGTAGACACCAAAAGAGGACAACAAGGGCGCATGGGAGCATAAATAGAAGGACAGGCCTAAGTTCTTTTAGAATGTGGTGTCTTTATGCTATATGGTTTTTTACGCTTATATACAACCTGAGCATAAGATGTAGGAGTTCACTGCATTGCTTCTCCCACAGCCACAGCCACAGCCTCTGTCTCTCAGCTGCCCAGACTGCTTCCTGCTCTCACACACCACTCTGACTGCCCTGGCCAGCCCCCTTGACAAGGCCAAGCCACATTCCTGAGGGCAAAACAAGGGTCTGGGGGAACTTTGGCTGCTGCTTGTCTGATACCCTCAAGAGCTACTGCCAGTCAGTGAAGACAATACTGAGCTAGTTGGCAATGGCATGTTTCCTCATCATCCTCATGCTCCAAAGCCAGTCTTTGCAAAAGTATTTCAGCTGTGATTCAGTTGACAACTACGATAGTCCAAGGCAATGAAGAATTCATGAGACCCAGAGAGAAATAAGCAGCTTTGAGATACGATATCACCCAGACCATACTATGTAAATTACAAATGACATAATTATTTATTATAATTATTCTCATGAACACCTAGGGTCAGATCAAGTTAAAGGCAAATTAGGCAATTGCTTTGGGCATTATATTACCTGGAGAAACCCCAAAACTGTCTTGCTTCCTTTTCTAAGGCATTTTTAAAGCTCCTCCTGGAAATTTGACAAGGTAATGAACTTTCTTTCCCCAACAAAGACAAAATAAGTCCCTCTACATATATAAAGGACATAAACATGAGAATAAACTTTCATTAAAAATCTTGGCTTGTCACTCTCTTTTATTAAAGGAAAGTTCCACAACAATATTACTCAGTAAATTAAACAAGTAGGAATAAAGTCAATTAGGCCACAAAGGTTTGTAAACATAATTGACTGAAGGTGTTTATGAACAAGCTGCACCTTTGCAAAATAGCACTGGAAATGTGCTACAAAGCACTTAGGTACTATTCAGTTCTCCCCTATTCACAGTAGTCTATTATTTCCAGTAATGGAGGAGTAAGAGTTGCAACATTTTCCTGAGCTGTTGCCTTATTCTGTCTGGAGTTGGGACCATCTCTCTCACTACACAAAAACAAGCCATGTGTATTTTATTTACAACAGCACAGAGACTATAAGCTAGACCCAGCAAAAACCAAGAGTTTGCTCTGCAGCTTGTGGGTATGTTTTTAAAAGTTCTCAATGTCAAATGTTAGCTTTGACTTTCAGCCAATGAGACCATCCATAGGCAACACCTCTGCTCAGGTACAGTGCCCATTCTGTGTTTTGATGGTGCACCATGTCACCAGCACCAAGTCAATGCTAAATAGCAGTCATGAAAGAAATATCAAGTTTTCTTTCTTTAAAATAAGGGAATCCTGGTAATGGTTTCTGATATTATCCGTTCCTCGTTATCGAAGTACAGTGGTGCCTCGCAAGACGAAATTAATTCGTTCCGCGAGTTTTGTCGTCTTGCGATTATTTTCGTCTTGCGAAGCACGGTGTCGGAAAAGTTTTGGAAAAGCTTCAAAAATCACCAAAGTCTTCAAAAACCTCAAAAAAGGCTACCACACCGCGTTCTATGAGTTGCTCCTCGAAGTCAAGTCGCAACTGTATTAACGGTGTTAAGAAAAAGGAAACAAACTTGCAAGACGTTTCCGTCTTGCGAAGCAAGCCCATAGGGAAAATCGTCTTGCGAAGCAGCTCAAAAAACAAAAAACCCTTTCGTCTTGCGAGTTTCCGTCTTGCGAGGCATTCGTCTTGCAAGGTACCACTGTATACTGAGGTCTAACTGAAAGTTAAAGATATTGATGACAAATCTGTCTCCATAGTTTCAGGTCACTTCCGTTCTCTCAGCTCTGCAAGTATAATTGATTTGTGGAGGGTGGTAAGGGAGGAGAACCCACAGTTCAATAGTGAGCATATACTTCCGACGCATAAGATTGCAGGTTCACACTCTGGAACTTTCAATCAGAGTATCTCATGCAGCAAACTGAGGATGGGGTGGGTGGAATCACACCAGAGCAGGATGGGCACATGACCAGTTTTATAATGGATAATCCTATATGTAAATAATGCTTTAAATAAATAACATTCAAAGGGCTGCCGGGGCAAGTCCTCTACTTGAAGGAGTCCTCTGATTGAAGGGTCTGCTTGGTCAATGTTTAGTTTAAAGACACACACACACACACACCAAAAAAAAAAAAACTGTTAAAAGGGAGAACAGTGGTGCAGGCCGTGAAGTTGCCCATCAACAGTTAGCACACCAGGACGCCAACTGAGCAGGCACACAGAGGCAACTCTCTTCCCCTCTATAGTGAGATGCACTGTTCTTCTGAGTAAGTTGCAGTAATAATGCCTAAAGTCCATCTACACACATAAATCAGGATACACAATTTCTATGCAGGTGTATGTCCTCATATGTCCTCTTATTTGATTTTGAGGGTTTTTTTGTTTGTTTTGGAGGTGCCTGAGATCCCAAAAAGATGGCAGCAGCCAAGGCAGACGGTGGTAGGCTAAACAGACCAAGAACCTAACTCAGCTCAAGGCCACTTTATAGGCTTCTCTTTCCCCTGTATATCTAGGTTCAGGCAACCAAATAACTACACCCCCACCCTGAAATCTCTCCACATTCCTTAAATTCATCCCCTCAAGGGTTCGGGGACTCCCTGAGGTTACAGGTGTGTATTTGTGGAAATAAGAACTTAAGCTTCACTATCAGTTATTACAGATGTTTGCGTATGCGTTTGGAGGGCATTTCTCTCTGTAAACATCTTCGAAGTTAGTCTCTCTGGACTGGATTGAATTTCCATCATATAAGGCTGACTGCTTTGTGGTACAGCTTTCATTTAAGGGTCTAGATATACATTAAAGGGCCATGATTGATGCTAGTTCTCAGTGATTTTTAATAAGAGATCTGCAGCATTTGTGGTTCAAAATAAAGATTAATAGTTTTAAATAGTTTGTAGGCAAGTTCAATTAAGCACAGGATCATAGAATCGTAGAGTTGGGGGGAACCCCAAGGATCATCTAGTCCAACACTCTGCTATGCAGGAATCTCAACTAAAGTATCCATGACAGATGACCATCCAACCTCTGTTTAAAAACCTCCAAGGAAGGAGAGTCCACAACCTCCTGATAGAGTCTGTTCCACTGTCTGACTCTATCAGACAGATAATCTGCTCTTACTGTCAGAAAGTTCTTCCCGATGTTTCTCTCCTTTCTTGTAACTTGAAGCCATTGGTTTGGGTCCTATCCTCCAGAGCAAGAAAAAACATGCTTGCTTCATCTTCTATGTGACAGCCCTTTAAACATTGGCTATCATATCTCCCCTCTAGGCCAAACCTCCTCATACTGGCCAAACATCCCCAACTCCCTCATAAGGATTGGTTTCCAAATCCTTGATCATCTTGGTCACCCTCCTCTGCACATGTTCTAGCTTGTCAATATCCTTCTTAAATTGTGGTGCCCAGAAATGGACACAGTACTCCAGGCAAGAATGGAGTGGTACTATTACTTCCCTTGATCTGGACACTATACTTCTGTTTATGCAGCCGAGAATGGCATTAGGCTTGTTGTTGTTTTTCCTGCTGCATCACACTGGTGACTCGTGTTAAGCTTGTGGTCTACACACATGGAAGGCACTGCAGAAAAGGCCTGTACTTGTGCTGCCGTCCTCCAGACCTCTCATAGAGGAGGCACAAGAAGAAGGGCCTCTGATGATGATTTCAGGGTCTGGGTAGGTTCATATAGGTGAGGTGGTCACTGAGGCCTTCCTGGTCGGTCACTACCAGTTCAGACCCCAAATGCACATATGAGAAATAAATAAAAAAATTTTTGTGCCGACATGCATCATTTTACTTTTGTTTACATTTAATTACATTGGCCATTTTAACACCCATCCACTCAGTTTGGAGACGTCGTTTTGAAGCTCTTCACAATCTCTTTTTGCTTTAATGACTGAAAAAATTAGTATCACCAGCAAAAGTGGCCACCTCACTGCTCACTCTAGATCATTTGTGAAGTTCAAAATCATAGTACTGATCCTTGTGGGACTCCCCTTTCTATACATCTGCATTGGGAGAACTGTCCATTTATTCCTACTCTTTGCTTCTTGCAATTTAACCAACTCGTGATTCACAAGAGGACCTCTTCTCTTGTTCCTTGACTGCTAAGCTTTCTCAGGAGTCTTTGGTGAGGTACTTTGTTGAAAGCTTTTTGAAAGTCTAGGTACACTGTGTCAGCTGGATCACCTCTATCTATATGCTTGTTGACACTCAAAGAAAGGCTTGTGAGAAAGGACTTTCATATGCTGCTGCCTTTTTCAGGCTGTTCAAACTGCAGATGCTTCTTTGAAATCACTAACAATAAGATGAAATCTTCATCAAGTCACTTTTTCCCCCCTTTGAAGATCTGAATGCAGGCACCTAGTAAATGTAGTTTGAAATATTTGTGGCTCTTCCACTCATGTAAGAAGCTACTGTATCTCTATATTTAATGGAGGGTTCCAAAATGCTCAATGAATGTGATCCAACATAGTGTCAATCAGATGTCCGCGATGAACTGCCATATGTGAGGAGACTCCGTCTACCTAAACCAGCTCACGGACCTTGGAATTCAAATTCTAAACGTGGTAGTGTCCATTCTCAGCCTGGCCCCCAAATGCCCAGCCCTTTGACCAAGGCAATCACAGCCTGGCCGTTGCAGCTAAGAGGCAGGGAGTCCATGAAGTGATCAAAGAGAAGATGGAAAGTCCAACAAGGAGAAAGGAAGATAACCTGACAGAAGATACAGCCCATTTTGCTGTTGGACCCTCTGCTAGCAGCATAATAACTCCTGGCAAAAATGTTGTCTATCATTTTTGGGTGAAAAGCACAGGAATATTCGACCCATCCTAATGAGAAAACTTGTGTTTTTAAATAAAGCAGAAGGGGTTTAATTGAATAACGCTATTAAAGATCTATGAATCCAAATTCAAATTTTAAATCCTGCCCCCAACACTCACAAATAATTCCTCTAAAGACACCCAGTCCTTCTGTGACTTCAAAACAACTAAGCCAGTGGCAGCTTAGGGGCTGTGACCAGCTGCAGTATTCAGACAGCTGGCAAGGCCAAGGCACACCTAAAGTGCCCCAGGGGCTGATGCCTACATTGCTGCCCATTGGCACTGCAGCTAGCATGAGCCACCTTGGCAGCGCTGCACCCACTCCCCTTAGAGGGCTCACCTGATGTGGTACTGCTGGTACTGCATTGCAGGAGATATAATAAAAGTAGCTGCCTGCCACTGACTGGGGACGAGTAAGTGCTTTGCTCCACTTCCAGTGGCACTGGCTTCACACGCTGGGCAAGTCCATATGGGGAGAGGGGGTGACTGACACATTTGAGCTCCATGTGGCCTAAATTGTGATGGTTGGCAGCAGCAATTCCTACAGGGCCCTGGGGATTCTGGGGGGCGTAGCTCCGACACTGAGGGCTTGGCTCACTTACCTTTCCTCCACTCTCTCAAGGCATGGTCTGAGCACCCCCTTTTTTGTTCTGGAGCTTTCCCTGCAAAATCCCGCTCTTTAAAGCTCAAAGTCAAATTGACGTTTGCTCTGATTCAGCTTCAAAGAGCAGACTTTTGCAGGCAAAGTTCTAGAACAGAAAAAGAAAAAAACTGCTTGGACACAGAGCATTAAAGCACAGACCTCTGCCTGGAAACAGCAGGGCAAAAGAGGAGGATAAGCCCCGACCTGCAGAGACACATTAGAAGGTACATTGAGGGTGAAGTCCAAGGACAATGAGGAACAACGGGAAAGGCTCAAGGATATTGAAAGCCTTAGCCCATTAGTATATTCATGTCTGTGGTGTCACAGGCAATGTACATGCAGCATGTTTATATAAGTGCAGTTATCCTGTGATGGGTCTTCATGAAGATTGCTGGCTTGGGAAAGGGAGTGCTTTCCTGTGACATTCTCCAGTATATTTACTTAAATTGAAATGAACCAGACTGCCACCTTTAACCTGAGTTTTACTTATACAATAATGCTGAATATTGGTGCAATCATTCAACGTTATGCCCTCTTCTATAAAACAGCAAATAATTAGTCTCCTAATGAGGAAAAATTAATTTATTCTATTAAAATATTGCTTCTGTGTCATTACCAAAACAATAGGTGCTTTGTTTATTTCTGTACTGGTTGACAAGCTTCCATATTCTTCAAAATGCAAGGAGAATAATACTTACTGCAGTTTTCAGCCTTCTTATTTCTGTGGATCACAGTCTTTTGATTAGGAGTGCTGAAGAGACTGGTCCAGTTGATGGTGTGATAGTAGCACAAGTTACTATTGTCTGTTATGTAGATGTTGCCAGCACTGATATGCTTCAGGGACTGGAACTGTAGAGATCTAATTCCCTGCTGCTTGAGAATAAGCAAAGAAAGGCCACTGGAGGAGGAAACAAGAACAGAATAGTAAATAGGCACACAGAGATATATAGAGGCAGGCATATATTGTGGGAACTTGCTTTGTTGCTTAGATACAACTATCGCATGCAAGCAAAGGGCCAGAAATGGAAAAGATGGGAAAGTAATCTAATTTGAGCCCCTACTCTCCACGCTTTGACCCATCCAGAGTATAATGTGCCACAAGCAGAGAGCAAGTGCTAACACAGTGCGCAAAGCCACAGGTGCTCAAAGGTACAGAGCAAAGAACAGTCCAGATGTTTGAGGCAAGGCAGGTAGGCACTACACCTAAATACTAGCTTTGGGGAGAACAACATGATCAATGATTACTTGTTTATCCAAAGTGGAAAGTAGGGCATTAATGATGGCTTTTAAAAATTGCTCTTGGAATGCATAGGAATGTGATCATGTTGTGAAATGAATTGCAGCGGCCTCTGCAACCCTTGCTCCAATCACGATGAGATCCAACTGCAGAGTGTACTCATTCACTATTAGTGCACATAATGAATATTTTCCCCATATGACTGGGACAGAGAAAAGGCTCAAACTGACTGCTGTTGGCATCCATCTGTCTTGGGAGACAATCAAAGAGTGTCCCTTTGGGGATGAAGACAAACTGTTGGAGACAAACTGCTGTGGCTGTAGAGGCCGATATGGGAGAGACATGTTTTGTTGCAGCTGGGGCAGATGAAGGTGCCTGGTTGCGCTGTTGCAGATGCGCCATGTCATTTATTCTTTCTGCTCTCTTCCCAGCGGTCATTCCTTTTCTGATCGCTGCTGTGGATACATGACCTGACTGATGGTCTCCAGCTGTTGTGGTCGTCTGCAAGGGATTCCCACATAGCAGGGTTAACATTGCCAGCCTTCCTGTCATGTTTGCAGACATCTTTGTAACACAGAGTTTCTCTGCCAACGGGCTGGTGCCTGAAGCCAGCTCTCCTCAGAGCACATCCTGGGGGATCCTGCCATCTTCTGTTCTGTGGACATGAGCAAGCCAGCACAGATGTCGCTGAGACAGGAGTGTGAACATGCTGGGAATGTGGGCTTGGGAGAGCACATCTTTGTTTGAGTCTCTATCCTGCCATGGGATGCCCAAAATCTTTCTGACACAGCACATGTGGAAGGTGTGGAGGTGTCGCTCCTGGTGGGCATAAGTTGCCCATGTCTCCCTACCATAGAGCAGCAGGCTCAAGAAGCAAGCTGGGCAGGGCTTCATCTTGGCATTGGTAGTTAGCATCACAGTCTCCCGTACCCTTTGGAAGAGGCAAGCTTTCAGAATATTTAGAATTAGCCAAATTGACAGATATAATAAGACAAAAACCAAAAAGTGAAGTGAAAAAGGAATGGAAGTGTCTAAACGAATACCTTAAAAGCCAAGGTTCGAGGACAGAAATCTGGCTGAGTCTGGAATAACCTTGTGAAGTGAAAGGATAAGAAAGAGGGATTTATATCTGGATGCTAGACTAGAGATTATAAGGAAAACAGGAAAACAGGAAGACACAAAGGAGGTGCTGTGGGATTGGCGGAAGTCAATAATTGTTTTTCTTTTTAGTGTTTATATTATTAACTTGTAAGATATGGATTTGTGGTGGGGTTTTTTGAATGTCGGTTTTTGTGTTTTGTGTATTGTTATTTTTCAATATTTTTCGTGGTGTTGTTGTGTGGAAAATACTAATAAAATTTTCAATTATTAAAAATAAAAATAAAAATGAAGAGGCAAGCCATTGCCATAGTTGCCTTGCCAATACACTTGTCCAGCTCTGTGTCGATGGAGAGAATGCTAGTTAAGGTGGAGCCCAGGAAGACAAATGCATCGACTACCTCAAGTGTGTGGTCACCAACACTAATGTTTGGAGCGCTGACTATGTCCTGACTGTGAACCAGTCATATAACTACAAATGTTTCACTGTTGACCATTGTTGAGGCAAATGTTAAGCAGAAAGGCCCCACGGGGCTTGAAGCAGAACCATTCTCTGTCTTGCCATCTTATTCAGGTGTGATGGAATAGGGGGCGATCATTTTTGATGTTTGGGTGTCTGTGTGTTCCATGAACCTTCCCTTTGCCATCTTGCTTTCTTTCTAAAATGTCCAAGTGTGTGAGCTATCATTATCTTAAGAGACATGCACCCTCCCTCTCCGCCAGATTGCTTGGGTCTTTGAGGGCTTTATACCACCAGAGCCACATTCATAGCATATGTGTGTAAATGAAAGTCAAATTATTAATTCCAAAGAGATTCTCTGCTCCTTTGCCTAAGATGATGATTTTCTTGGCAGCCAGTCATTTTCGTAGCATCAAGCAAAAATCTTAACTGTGAAGTGGAGATAACTTTGTTGAAGTGGAGAGTCTAAAGTTTGTGAAGCTAAAGTAGTTTATGAGAAACCAGTACTCTGCAGATTTATTTGATATCTTAAAAAAAAAACCCCAAGGTAATTATTTTCCAGCTGTTCTTGATGAAAACCAATACCACAAAAGCCAGCACGAGACTGTAATTCAAATCTCAAGGTTTCACTGTTATTTATAATCTGCTTTGGCCATTGTTTACAACACATACAGAGCCCCTTGACTGATTAACTACATTTTGCTCTGTGGGCCATGGTATATATTACACAGATAGATTGTTTCACGCCCATTCTGTTTTGGTGTTCTCTCTCCCAACAGGAACTTTTCCTGTGCATCAGCTTTCATATCAGAACATGTTTCTTAAAAATGGAACATGCAAGTTATTACAAATCTCATATTCTGTAATGCCTGTGCAAACACCACTGTGATCTCTGGCATTTTTGTGTCCTTTTACTTTTTGTGACAAAAAATAATAATTCCATATCAGAACAATGAAAGACTGGTTCACACATCATACTGCGCTAGACTGTGGCTTAGAAAGAACATGTGAGCATGCTGGCTCTCAGAGAGAAGACTGCAGCTACTCTGCTCCTTCCTGGTCATTCGTGTGTGTTGTGTTGCGCTGCCCTGCCCTGAGCTAAGGCATGGTTCTGCTTAGTGTGGTGTCTGAACTCATAGTCCTGGTTTAGCTCTCCTGGACAAACCGTGAACCATGCATCCACTGATGTCCACACGTACCACAAGAGTTTAGCAAGGGGGCCTTCTCATGTACAGTTTAGATAGGTGTGCATGGGTATTTATGGGTATTTATGCATGAGGTGGGACAAAGATATTATCCAGACCCCAACACCATGCTCTGTGATAAATTTCTTTAATAAACTCAGTCTGTGAACATTGATTTTAAAAGTGAAAATGCTAAGAAAAACAAAACAGCTTAGCCCACCTGTATAGTGCTCTTCCACCGATAGTAACTAGGTTAGAAAACACACTGAAATCGGTCATGTTTTCAGGCCATGATTGTATATTCAGGAATCCTAAAGAGGATAAAACCAGAAATATTACAGAATTCCTCACTGCAGTCACAGCTTCACTACAGACTTGAAATCTGATCAGGCAAAAGAGCGGAAGGAAGGCCATGCCTGCCTAGCCTTGGAATTTATACCACGTTCTTTGGCATCTTGTGTGACAACACACGCCACTGCCCAGGAAGAGGAACCTGTGGCCGTCCAGATGCTGCTGGACTCTGACACCCATCAGTTGATGGTCCGGTATGATGGGACCTGTAGTTCAGCAACATCTGGAGGGCCAGAGGTTCCCCATAGGCCATTTTGATTTCTGAGCTGAAGGGCCAAATAGTGCCCATCCCTCCTGTTCCATGTACAGAAAGTGAACTAACTGGCATTTGAACCTCCCCTTCATCCCTGGCAACTGGACAGTGTCCCTCAGCCACTGCCTTGCTAAGGAAGTGCAGACCAGGCCATAAAACACACAGAGCTCTGTCCTCTAACATCTTGGCACTGTGACCTGCCCTCTGGCACCTGCCGCCTGAGGCAACCACTCCATGCCCTGGGCTTCATCTGAGGAAGGCGTTTCATGGAGAAGTTTCCTAAACTCCTGTCTGGGTGCTGGTCCCACAGCTGCACTGAGTTCCTTAGTAGCACAAGTTGACAGGGCATCATCCTGTGCCTTTTACCACGTGCACTGAAATAGAGCATCCTGTCACTGAAACAACCGTCCTAAGGACATTGCCTTGATAAACCAGTGGATCAGTAGTAAGCTTTCAACACAGCCAGCTTAAAAGCACAGAGAAAGGGAATGATAACATTGTTGTTGATGATGAGGATAATAATTTGTATTTATATGCTGTTTTAAAATATTCAATCCACTTCACTTACAGCAATCACTACAACAATATTCACTGCCATCTTGTAAATTTATGGTTGAGGTAAAATTTGTACTACAAACCTCTTTTTCATGCTACACTGTTACCTCAGCTCATTTATGTAAGCAGTAGCTTTTCTAAAAAATGGAAAACACAAATGATGTAGTATCATAATTGTAGGTTACCTGTTATCTCTCTCACTGTTTGAAAGACATTTAAATTCTGAGGGTCAATTGCTTCTATTGTGTGATAGGGGTCCCTGGAAGAGAATAACGACACATTGTCAAGATGTGAATATGGAAGAATGGTGAAGGATTCCCACCATATCCTGGGAGTAGAAAACTAGCTTTGCCTTTCTTCTTCCTGAAGTGGATGCCCAGAAGAGCACTGCTAACAGAGCTTAGAGCTCCCAACAGACGGATCACAGAGACAGTGACTTGACTGTCATTTTGGAGGAACCCCTAATATAGTAGGTCATTTCAATGTACACATTTTCTGGTTGTTATTTGGCCAAATGACCTGGTCATTTGTACACACTTCCTCTGAGGCCCTATCCAATTCCTTCTCCAGACTTTTTCAGGTATGGTGGAGAAAGGTAAGAGAACATGGGGGTGGCTGCTGGCAAGAGGCAGGATGGAGGCTCAGTGTGGAGGGGGAAGGAGGGAAAGGGGTGGCTGAGAGAGGGGAGAAGGCTTGTGTGTGGAGTCTGGAGACTCCAATTAGCTTGCAATAAGTCCTGGAAATAGTTTGGCTTATTTCCCAAGAGAATTTGAAGAAAAACCACTAGGACAAAATCTGAAAATCAAAAATGGAGGAAAGGTGGCTTGGTGGTGCACCTTCTGGAAAGAATATTAAAATTGGAAGAATGTGAGCAAGCATCCTTCTCTCTTTCCTTTCAGCTCACAATCTTGGCCACTGCACCGCAACAGTTCTCACTCTTTGCGATTAAGGTGTGGTTTGTTTTGAGAGCAGGACTTATGCCTCCTTTCAGTAAGCTTTGAACTGATTTGACACAGCCAGTCTTAAAAGCCAAAGACTCTTGTGCCAATTAATGTAGGACACCCTGAAATAAAAAAAGACAAGCAAAAGCATCCTGTGAAAAGTGCACATCTATTTTTGGGGTGGGGAAGCCTTCACAGAAAAGTATGCAAATAAATGACTTTTATTACCCTTTAGAGTCAGGCTCTACTTTTCTTGTACAAGCCTGTGATTATAGAAATAATAATAATAACACACTTGGAAGACTGTGAGAGGCACATAGTAGGCAACTCTTTTTCTGCCCTTCGGAAGTCCAGAAAGAGTATAGGAAACAGTTGGGCAAGACTTGCAGACAGGACTCATGGACTCAGTTTTACATTTACAATTTATAGTGAGGTTAGCAGGAGGGAAATGGAATATTCAAAGAAAGCCCAAAGGATTAGCCAAATATTATACAATTAATTCTTGTGGTTTAGGCCTCCCTCACCCCCCACCATGGCTTACAATCTGTTTCATGCAACCAGGATTTATCCAGGATTATCGTTTTTAATTACACTTTCTGCTCAGTGTGAAGCTCCCAAGAAAGGACTGCCAGCGGAAAGGCGGGGGTCTGCTTCAAGGCAAGGCATGAAAAGTTCAAACCTGTGTGCACGTCTTTAGTAAAGGCACGGCATGACAGAGTGACTCAAATCGTGTTTTGCTGTGATGCCTGAACTCACAAATCCTGCAAACCAGACTTGGAAACCACAGTTTGAAGTGGGATTACAAGAAATGGCTTCTGCTAAGGACAGCTTGATGTGATTTCTTAATTTACACACTGTATTTACCATTGTTACTTTGCCACAGGAGAATAGTGTACCATAAGCAGAATGGTGTGGCTGGTGAGCAGATGGAAAATGAAAGTAGCTTTAAGCTAAGGGTGCCTGTCAAATTCACTTCAGCTGAATACCTGCAGAACTTTCAGAGTTCCAGATTACCTGGTCTTGTTCTTAAAGTGGAACTGATGCACTAGGAAACATACGGTATACTGTTCCATTCAGAGCACCATACACAGGTGGTATATTTCTTTCCTTCCTTTTCACTCCTTTACATTAACAGTGTGTAGGTTCTCCACCTAGATATAATGCCTCAACAAGAAAACATTGATTTGCCTTTAGGTACAGTTGATTCAATTTTTTTTTCTAATGAGGTACTCCCAGAATACAGCATAAAGCACAGCACAAAAGAATATTGATGCATTTATGCATACAAGCACACCAAGGTTGGTTTTTATTCTGCCCTTTCAATATGCCCATTTGCATTGGCAACAGAAGGGGAGAACAAAAGAACCCGGATGTTGTGGTAAACTGTGCAACTCCCAGCTCCATAATTTTAGACTTTTCCCAGTTAAAAAGAACACAAGGAGTGCAGCATGGAGCAGAGTGAACCCACAGAACAATAAAGTAATGGTAAATCTGCTCATCCTTAACCTAAACCAAAGTTTGCCAGTATGTTTTGAAGTTCAAACAATAGGTTGGGTTTGAGACTATGGTTAGCACTGCAAACCAACAAATGACAAAAACTTGAGTGACAACCTATAGCAGCACCAGTGAAGTTTGCAGAGCTTACAATAATTTCAGCAAAAACTGCAGTGATCAGATATATTACTGTATTAAATAACAGCCCCAGGATTAGCCTGAACCAAGTTGGCAGAAGCACTGGATTTGCACAGATCTGACCTTGCCACTGCCTCACTCCTCTCCCTCTCTGTCCCAGCATGCAGCAGTGACTCAGCTTGCGGGACCTTTTACAACTTCTAATTTCTCTGCTTTACAAACGTTGTGTGGAACCAGCCAAGAACCCAAATGAGTACCCTGAGCATGTTTATGGAATCGACCAAGAATGATCATCCCTGCTCCAAATCTAATAACCCCGCGGCCTGACAGTAGCTGATGGAGCACATTGAAACTAGTGGCATGAAAGGGGCTTTGAAGCATGGTATAGGCTAACTTTGTCCATGTATATATACTTTTGATACTGAAGATAGAAATTTGAACATTGGGGTTAAAGGCATGTTCTGCTATCCTGAGGGAAACTCCCTGCCTAATGAATGAACTAGTAGATTATGGTTGTGACCAGTGCTATTTTTCTAGAAAAAGAGGTGCCGGAACTCACTATGAACACCTCCCTTGTTCTCTTAGAATGGCAATGGTGCCCACCTGAGAGGGGCCAGAACTGAGTTCCAGCAAGTTCTGGCTGAAAAAAAGCCTTGGTGGTGACTCTTCTTACAAAGAAGTGCAGGAAAATAAATTTGTGGTACATTACATCATTCACATTCTTCTGCATTATAGTGATGTGAAAGGCCTCTCTTTGAGAGCAGGGGGAGCCACTTCCAATTAGCATAAACAATTTGGGTTAGATGGGCAAATAATTTAACTTGGCATAAAGCAGCCTCCTAATGTTTCAAGGCTGCCTTCCATTTAATAAGTTTAAATATATATTGATATTTTTTTAACATTAGCTATTAAGTGAGTCCCTAATATTATATACTAGAAAGTTCCCTATTATTTAAATGTTGAATAACAGAGTTAATCCTGAATGCAAGAATATGTTCAAATACTCTAAATTAACATTATGAACAGCTAATATATATTCCAGGTTACCATTTTACACTGTCAACTTTTAATAATGTGCAGTTCAGTTGTACTTTCCTTATAACTTCAAGCTTGCACATAAACTTCATAACAATAATATTTTAAAGACCAAATTTAAATAATTTTAATCCCCTCTAAAACATATGATTTAAAATATTGCTTTAATGTGATGCTGGCAGTATATTAGGAGTGATGCTCTTTCAGGAGCTGGAGGGCACGTGACATTTTGGACACAACAAGAAGGGCTGCAGGTAGGAGATCTGTATGCCTGACAACAGTGTTACACTTATTTTGTTGAAATGGCTCCACTACGTTTTCGACCCATCTGCCTTAAAATTCAACTCGGTTAATTCCTAAAATTAATTTCAGATTAGGACATGTACAATTGGATGCTGTTTGCAGTTTGCACCCACCCCACATTCTCTACTTACATGTTACCAATGCACAGTAGTGCATAGCCACACTGATTAAATCAGCACAAAAAGGCATCATTATGTGATCGCATGATTAAAATAGGATTCCTTTTTGCACAGTGATGTAATCAATGCACATGGGCCCTGATGCACATTGGTAAACTATAAGGGGGGGGACTGAAGCAAACTTCACATGCCCAGTGGTCTGGGGAAAAAATTAGGAAATCAAATCAACATTAAAAATGACACATTGTTAGCGCAATGCCACTTTGGAAACAAGATTAGGTAATCTGGAAACTCAAAATCTGGAAACTAATTTGGATGGGAAAATATTCAGAAGCATCCCTATAGAGAAGCGGACACGGAGCAATGGATCCAAACTACAAGAAAGAAGATTCCACCTAAACATTAGGAAGAACTTCCTGACAGTAAGAGCTGTTTGACAGTGGAATTTGCTGCCAAGGAGTGTGGTGGAGTCTCCTTCTTTGGAGGTCTTTAAGCAGAGGCTTGACAACCATATGTCAGGAGTGCTCTGATGGTGTTTCCTGCTTGGCAGGGGGTTGGACTCGATGGCCCTTGTGGTCTCTTCCAACTCTATGATTCTATGATTCTATGATTCTATGATCCCTAGATGACAGGCCAGAACAAAGGAACAGAGGGCTCCTCCAGACATGCCCTTGCAGACCCGACCTCGACCACTGAATCAGAGTTTTCAATCGAGTTTTTTTCCCAATTTATTGCTAATGTACAGGTTTTCCAACAGAAAGCAGAGAGGCAATGGCACAACTGCTTGAACTTGTGCTTTCTAAGTACAGAATAAGTGTAAGTCTGGATGAGTCCAGAGAGATAAAAACAGGTGGAACTTGCATTGATGCTCCAAATGTTTATTTTGTTCATAATGCAGCATGCAAGAAAGGCAAGAACTGAAAAAAGGCAATAAGCTATTGTAAGTCCTTGCATGCCCTCTATAAGCCCCTTTATCTTCCCTGAGACTGGTCAATAAGTTTCCCACCACAGCATTCATTCATTCATTCAACATGGGCTCACATTGTGCCTCAGCAGTCTTGGTCAGGTTTATCAAATTCTACAGACAGAAAGGCAAAGGCCGTGCTAGCAATGAGCAGAACTTGGATTTCAACCCCACTATCTAGAAGTCAAAATGCCCCTTTAGACATTACTGTTATGTCATAGGAGCCCATCCTCTATACCACCAGAAAATTTGGGCCAAGCTGGAAAGAGCACAATACACAGCTCCATCTCATACAATTCTCAGAAGAAGCAGTGCTGGCCTGATAGTCCATCCCAACATTTAGGGACCAAAAAAGTGAAAATGAACAAACTAGGTGGGTCTGTTACTAAGATGCAGCATGTTATAATTATCTGCACTCACCCATGAATCCCAGTGACAAGGAAGATAAGGTTCCCATTGATCTTGGTACAGTTGACAAATTTGTCAATGTTGCTGGAGTCTACCGTTTGGGCATACATCAAACTTCCTGTACCGATGCCATCACATGCTGTAAAAATAAACAACTTTGTAAAAATATGCATTCATATATTTGGATCTCTTGTAAATCACTGAGTGCATTACGCCATTGTGCTTGCGCTGGCTTTAAATCAAGAGGCAGCGGGGAAGGGTAATTAATCCTGTTTTCCAGGAACTGGGCTGAGAGCAAGGAGCGCCTGTCCATCTCAGACTGAGGAGCAAAGATCAGTCATAGAATGCTGACACTCTGTGAAGCTACAGGTTCAAGTGGAAAGAAAACCCTCCCATAGATCTATGGACAGCAGATTATATATGAGACGTAGTTAAAGATAATATTGTAGAGGAGCTGAAAGGCCATGTGGAAGCAGGCTGGGAAATCCCTCATGCAAGGACAAAGGGCAGGGAGACAGATAGTCTGCAGGCCATGAGAAAGGAAATAAGATAGGAAAGGGATTTGTGTTCTGAGAAGCCAAGGAGATAAGGATGACTAAATTTCATATGCTGATGAAATCACAGGCATCTAAAGTCATCTATTTCCCCAGATTGTGACCAGCATCTCCCTTCCTTGTGGGTGCATTTTAATTTCAGGTGTTTCAGAAATTTCCATTTGAGTCCTACCTATTTCACTCTTGAAGCTGATGAGGCCACAGGGTGCTAGAATACTTAGAGTAGCCTAACAGGCCATTATTATTTTTAAACTGCCTAAGTGTCTGTGCTCTGTACATATGGAGCATATGGAGTGTGTGTTTCAAGGATTTTTATTTTTTTATGGCAGCAGTGCTAGGAGTCTGATCTGATGTTCAAATGCAGTGATACCAACCATGCGGGAGAAAGCAGAAAGCCTGGCAGGTGAGCACCACCAGAACCATGTGCTACCTCTAAAAAGGAAGGAACTCAAGCCTAGGCAATGGGACCTGGTTAATATTAATTTGTCCTACTTCCTAGCATGGTTTACTACTTACTTTTCTCTTTCTGTTTCTCTGCTTTACAAAGGCTAAGACGAACCAACTAAAGAACTGCCCCTTGCCTCAAATATTTCTTTATAAAATTGTTCCGGAAAGATGCCTCTTACCTAGAATAAAACTACAATGGTTCATCGTGACAAGCCCAGCAGCAGCCATGTGATCAGCTAAGATGCTCAAATCCATTTTGTTACATTAGAGATCTAAATATGTATGTCTGTATAGAAAAGTGTTAGGTCACAAAAGTTAAAACTTATTTTAAAGCCACTTGGATTGGTTGAATGCAGGGTAGCCGATGCTTGTGCATGCATAACCTAGTCTATGCACATTTGTCTGTGTTCACATGAGCCTAACCAGATGTTGCAGGCAGATGTGACACACCTACCCTGTTCACATATAATGTGGTGAGCATGGCTACACATACACAGTCTACCAACAAGGTGCCCTTCAGATGTTATGGACTAAAGGTCCCATCACTTCTGCTCGTTGGTCCCCCTTCTCCTCTGCTGTGCAGTTCCCCCCAAGCCCCCTAAGCCTGTTCTGGGTTTCCCCACAACTCTCCAAAACAGGTTTAGTTTGTGAAGAGTTTTCCACAGGAGGAGAAGAGGAGGATAGTCCCACTGTGCAAGCAGACCTCATTCCACATGCAACAGCTTTGTTGAATCCTGTCATGCTCAGAGCAGACCCTGAATGGGCTTCTGTTACCTGTCCATTGGTTTCAATGGGTCTAGCTCGAGTATACCATAGTTAGACATCACCCGTTGTAGTTCTGTAGACAAGCTAGATGCTGGGAAGGCAAAGTGCCAAGGTACAGTTGCTGTCACTAGAGTCTACATGTTTCTCCTCTGTATTCCTTCTTCTGCTGCATGAAAAAGGAATTATCTGCCCCTGGAAACCTGAGTCCCAGAACACCTTCCTGTTTCACAGTACCTGGATCAGAAAAGCCAAACATGACACCACTAATAAATGGGACCAAGTTCTCCTTCGGGTGCATCTGGGCTGGGCTGCTTGTATCTGCAAGCAGGGCTCATATAATTCCTCCATACCAAGATATTCCGATAGAAAACTACACACCAAGGAGAGGAATCTTAGCAAAAGGGAGAGGACAGGTGTAGATCGCATACTTAGCATGCAAAAAATACCAGGCTTTCAGGCACCAGCGTTGGATAAGACCTCTCCTGAGCTGAGTAGGCCATACTGGGCCATACAAATCACTGATGTGAATCCGTATAAAACAGCTTCTTATGTTCATATATAGCATTCCCCTTAATACTGTAGTTCTTTTTGTATAGCCATGGCAGTTAAATGGGGAACATTCATTTATGCAAGATCCCACCTGCAGTCTCTAAGTACTTTAGCCCATATATAGCTCTGCCACCTGGGTGAGAACTGGGTCAAAGAAGTATGGCTATAAAAGGTTTTTAAGGTCCTCAAGCTAAATATTAGAAATGATCTATACCAGTAAGCATTATGATACATTTCAGAGCATGCTGATACCAAAAGTCCTTTTGAAAAACAAAAACAAAAAACGAATCTGAAGCTCCTATTAAAAGCCTGCACATTTCTTTAACCTCCACAATTGGGTTTTCCTCTGCGGTATTTTACCATGGAAGACATAAAACTAGACTAAAATAGGCATATTCCTTCCATGAGAGCTAACACAGCTTAACGTTGTGTGGATGTCTAAAAAGAAATGATTTTATTACATGGATATGGGTATATAGCCTGTCTTCTTTTTAAGGCTTGGAGTAGATAACATTTGTTATCTCCTTCACTTCCATATCTCAGTTCAGGAAGCAGGTAAATGAAGATGGATTAACACCGTTCAATAAATCCCCAATGGTTAGGGTTTGAAACAAGCACGCTGAATCAATGACACTTTGCATATATGGGAACTGTATTGCATACATGGAAAACACAAAGTTTACCTCAATGGCAGGGGCTTAAAATCCCAGGAAGCTAACACAATTTCAACAGGGAATTTACTAGTTCTGTAGGAAGCCACTCTGGCACCTGTGACTTTCAGACCTTCTAAATTATGTACAGGTGTTGTTATGAGTTGTATTGGGGAGCCTCAGGCGTCTTAGACTTGGGGGCCAAACAGATCTGCTGCCAAATTCCTATGAAGTTTCTGAGTGGGGAGCAATTTAAAGCACAGCTTGGGAGAAGGCTGAGATGAACAATCTCCATCAGCAAGCAACCTCCCTTCACCCCTAAGGCCTAGTTTTAAAAATATTTTCTCCCCACAGTTGTGCTCCAAAACTGGAAGTAATCCCTGCTGGGGTGAAAATGGCTAAAAATAGCAGTTTCTGGTGGGAGGCTACAGATGGAGGGAGGATTCAATTCACTCACCTGTGCTGCATTTTACATGCCCTCCACACCACCATTTTGTTGGGAACAAGAAAAACCCGGGTTGCTATTATGCCCAGTTGTATTCTGACACCCGTACTCTAAAGATAGAAGAGCTCTCTGGTTATATCCTTCTGCGTGGGCAGGGTTGTATCCTCCAGTGCTGGGGTGGCTAACTGTAAGGTAAAGGTAAAGAGACCCCTGACCACTAAGTCCAGTTGTGGACGACTCTGGGGTTGAGGCACTCATCTCACTTTACTGGCCGAGGGAGCCGGCATTTGTCCGCAGACAGCTTCTTGGTCATGTGGCCAGCATGACAAAGCTGCTTCTGGAGAAACCAGAGCAGCGCACGGAAACGCCATTAACTTTCCTGCCAGAGCGGTACCAATTTATCTACTTGCACTTTGACGTGCTTTCAAACTGCTAGGTTGGCAGGAGCAGGGACCGAGCAACAGGAGCTTCGAACAACAGGAGCTTCACAGGGATTCGAACTGCCAACCTTCTGATCGGCAAGTCCTAGGCTCAGTGGTTTAGACCACAGCACCACCCGCGTCTCTAACTGTAGCCTTACATATTTTGTTGGGCTCCCACCAGTCCCAGCTCAGCCAATGGTCAGTGATGATTGAAGCTGTTTTGACAACCTTATTTATTTACTTATTAAATTTGTATACCGCCCGAGATCTCAGGGTGGTTCACAACATTAGAGGGACACAGATTAGCCAACCCTGTTCTAGCCTATTGATCTTCAAGAGGTGGGTTATGGCCTGGCTGGATGCACCAGAGTGGTGGGAGGCACTGCATGGGAACCCCCAAGGGAAGAAGGCTCAGAGCCAGGGGATTGGACAATGTGAGGTCAGAGGGAGAAGAGGGAGCAGACTGAGAGGAGGCTGTGTCAGAAGCAGAAGAGGTAACAGGGTTTAGTGAGCAGGATCAGGCTAGGGCAGAGAGCAGCCCAGAATCAGAGTCTGGAGAGGAGGGGAGCCAAGAGGCAGAGATGAGTCAGGCTGATGAGGAAGCCAGGATTTCTCGCCCTCCTGCGATGGGCAGGTCCTGTCTCCCAGAACATGAAGAGGAATGAAGAGGGAGGAGCAAAGAGAGACCAGACAAGCAGCCTCAGGTTGCTGGGAAATGACCTGGGGGAGGAGACACCTTAGAGAGTGGTGGGAAGGCCTTCAACTCTCACATCTGCCTCATTGCAACCAGACCTACTGGGAAGAGCTGCTGTGATCACTTGGCCTGAGCTTTTTAGTTAACTTCACTGACACATTGTGAATTATTGCTGTCTTGCTCCCAACTCTCACCTTGACACTTATGGACCAACTGTGGCACTATTCTCTCCCCGCCCCCCCCCCATTTTTTTTCCTGAGGAAGGAGGCCTCCTCCCCCTCTCAACTCAAATACTGGACATGCACTGCTGCTGCGCTGCTTCATGTCTTCCTTGCAGGGACAAGGGGTGGAGGCACAGGGGAGCAATGTACACACAAAAGAGAAAAGGTTCACAATGCAGTTGCCACCTTTGGGCTAAGGTCAAGCTTTGCACCCTCCCTAGCTCAGAAGTGGGTCCCGTGTTTCAGGCTGGGAATCCAAGTGGGTTTCAGCTCTTGAAGAACGCTACTCTAGTGGGCTAAATGAGGAAACACCTTATGACAGGATCTCCATACCTGCCACCAGACTGCCCACAGAGATCAGTATCCCAGTTCCAAGGAGAGCAATCATAGCCTGCCCCATACTGCATCCAGGTTTCACTAGTTTCATGCCATTTCCAAATTAGTTCCTTGCTTTATGTCATGGCAATGCACAGCACACAAGGTCAGAAGTATAATGAAGAGCAGCCTACCTTTAGGGCAAATGTCAGTGCATGGTTTACATGTCTTAATGCCGTTTTCTTCAACTTCCATCTTGGGGCTGGGACAGGCACGCACACAAGAGCTGATGTCAACTACAAAGTTATCTAGAAGGAGGTAAAAAAAGAGGAAAGTGTATTATTGAAAAGAAAACCATCTACAAGCATCACACAATGGATATTCTGAGCATCCCTTTTTAAAACAGAGAGGTGTTGGGGAAAATGGGATGTGGGTCCCTCTTTTCTGCTACTGCATTCAAGATTCATTTTTATGTATTTGTCTCAGAACTGCATTTTATCTTTTGAAGTTTTCTCTAAGCTCACATTCTCCTGTATCCCTGTTGCTTTATGTTGTTGCTAATTTCAACATTCTTTAAAAGTTTCATTTCCCTTGAGATGCTGACGCTGTAACTCCATCTTAATGAGGTTTGTATTCTGGAAAATGTTTGAAATGTTATTTTAGCATCAAAGGATACACGGTCACAGCCAAGCTGGTATACCAACCACTGGATAAAATAAAAGATGCTTTGAATTATCTCAGTCTTATGCTCATACAGACAAAAAAGAAAGAAAGAAAAGAAGGTATCTAGATATTCAATTTTGTAGATAATGGCAATTAAATTTCAAAACAACGACCAAATGGGAATGTATATTTTTAGGCATACTAAATGTGGGATTCATTTCCACAACTAGTTAGCAAAATGCTGCTCTAGTATAAAAAAATAATAATAAACTTATGTATATATATATTTTTAAGGTAAAGGTAAAGGGACCCCTGACCATTAGGTCCAGTCGTGGCCGACTCTGGGGTTGCAGCGCTCATCTCGCTTTATTGGCCAAGGGAGCCGGCGTACAGCTTCCGGGTCATGTGGCCAGCAGGACTAAGCCGCTTCTGGCGAACCAGAGCAGCGCACGGAAACGCTGTTTACCTTCCTGCCGGAGCGGTACCTACTGATCTACTTGCACTTTGACGTGCTTTCGAACTGCTAGGTTGGCAGGAGCAGGGACCAAGTAACAGGAGCTCACCCCGTCGCGGGTATCCGAACCGCCAACCTTCTGATCAGCAAGTCCTAGGCTCTGTGGTTTAACCCACAGCGCGACCCGCGTCCCATACCTTTTTTTACTTAACCACAAATCATTACAACTAACTGTCAAAGTTTCCCCTGATTCTAGCTTACTATGCTGGTGCCGACAAAGCACACCAGGCTCTGGGATCCATGGTAATATGAAGATATTGTACAGCAAGCCAGATCATTGGTTTGTCTAATCTAGTACTCTCTGCTCTGACTGGCAGTGCCTCTTCTAGCTTTTTAGGCAGGGATTTTTTCCAACCTTACAATGAAATACCCCTTTTACTGGAAATGACAGGGATTGAACCTGATGTATGCAAAACATATGTCTAAAGCTGCTTCACATAACTAGGATAGCACCTTGTACTTCTTGCACCGTTAATAATTAGGTAGAAGAGGGGATTTCAGCAGGTGCTGCTTGCCATGCAAATGTGGCCTAGTGTTGAGAGTGTCAGCCTAGGACTGGAAAGACTCAGCTTCAAATGGGTAAGGAAGCTCTCTGAGTGGCCTCGGCCAGCCACTATCTCCCAAGCTAACTTGCCTCACAGGGTTGTTGTGAATAAAAAAATATATGAGGGACAGAATAATGGGCACTGCCTTTCACTCAGTATTCGAAACTCCCATTGTTCTAGGTGCATTTTGCGACAGGGAATTTCATTACTGCGAGCAGTTTCTCAGCTCTGGGCGCTGTACTGCGCCTAAGATTTCAGATTAAAACTGCAGAGCGGAAGGAAAGGAGAACCTTTTTCTGTCTCCCCACTTCCAGCTACTATCTAAAGACTGGAGAGGAGACCTTCTCAAGAATATTAGGGGGGTGGGCAGGGGAAGGACTAGACCACGTGAAAAATGAACATAATAATTTAGCTGTAGTTCCTTCATTTTCAGCTTCGTATTCTTGTTATAAAAAACTGAGCCTGGACATTTCATTGTTGCACCCATAACCTAGATTTAAGGTGCCATTTAGCTCCTAGCTTTCATATCTCTGTTCCTAGCACTGCTTTCACTTCTTGGATATTATTACAGTACATGCACCATACTTTTTTGCTTGTAGCATGCTCAGAGCTACTTATATCAGAAAAAAAATGCAACACAACAATGAAATTGGGAAAGATTGTCAAGAAAGAACAATTTCACACATAATATGCACATCATTCAGTGACTACACTGAAAGGCACTGTGTGTGATTGCAGGTGCTGTGAAAAAACTGGGTTGTTTGTTTTGCAATGTCCATTTCTACACATCTATTCCATCACTTAAGTCAATAGACAATTATACTAGCCCATCCTTAAGAAACTCCCTTACACAGATCCCCCCTCAATTTCTTTAATTGATGTTTAAAAGATTGTACCCTTAAACCCCAAAATATTCAAATATCAAGTATATGTGATCCCCTAAGATGTTATTGAAATGAGAACATATAAAGGGTTGTTTGCATGCTTTCACTTTACATCCACTTGCGCAGGCCTACGCAGCAACAGAACATGCTAAATGCTCTGGCAGTGTGATAATGCTTGCCATCTGGCCTCAGGGGGTCAGAAGAAATCATTAGGATCTATCAGAAAGACATTATTTCAGCCACATACTCTGCACTACTCCCACTGGGAACAGTCCATATAAATAGTTTTAGTAATCCAGTTTAACAGTCTGTACCTGAAAGGCATTTATGGTGGAGTACTTTATATTTTCAACTGACTGAAACCTCCTTGGTAGCCATTGTAATGTTGGGAGTTGGGAGCAATATTTTAATGTGCCTTGATAGCAATGAGCCTGTTCTGACTCACATTACCAAACCACACACTTGAATTTCAAGAAAAGGTCAAACATAAAAAAAATTCCACTTATGTTTGAGGGGAAATGAAAATGAGACTTTGTTTAAAGAAAGGAAATGTTAGAATCTGCTCCATATTTGACATCTGCTGCTGGATGGAAGCTGAGATTTTGACCACACAAACCAAAACATTTATCATGGATTTTTGGCTCTAAGTTATAGGGTGTTATTAAAATGTCAGCATTCAACAATGCCATTCTTAGAGTAAGTTATAACTTCCAATATAGTGCTGTTGAAGAAAATAGGGTGCTTTCTCATCATTAACTTCACCGTACATTTGGCATGCTTTGCAATTATTTTTTTAAAAGACTTCTGTGGTGACACTTTGAAACAGTTGCCCTTCATGGAAGAAAGGCAACCCTCCTCCTGTAACTTACGCGGGCACTTTTTGACACAAAAAGCACCATAGGTGTATTTGCCGTCTCGGTTGTTTTCCATCTGGAAGGTGGCAGGATTGTAAACTGAAGTCTGCGGACACTGCGTGACACAAGCCCCGCTGTCATTAAAATTCATACAAGCCTGCAAGACAGGAAAGAACAGTTTGAATCAGAGCTTTTATCGGCATTTAATAAACAGACCCTTGACAATAACAATAGGAAATAAGTTTCTTAAGGTATTCACTCTACGTAAATAATAACCTTTAGTTCCTGAGTCATCAAATTCAATTGAAGTCTAATTTGAGAAATTTAAATAATATTCTTATAACACATCATGAGGACTGCATATTACCCCCAAGTAATCAGAGGCACCATGCCCCTGAATGCCAGCTGCTGAGGATCGAGAGCTAGGAGTCCAACTTTGGGGCTTCCCAGAGGCGTGCGGTTGACCACTGTGGGAACAGGAGGCCAGACCAGGTGGGCCTGTGGTCCGACCCAGCACAGCTCATGTTATGTTTATAGGACTTAGAGCTATAAGTCTCTGCTTAGGGGTTGGGGTACGACAGGCATAATGGAAGAACATCGTCCATGTGATGATCATCAAGAGAGGACCTTTAAATTTTTGCTGAAGGCTGGAGAAGCTGGAACCTAAAGTGCAACAGGCAAAAGGTACTATTCCAGTGACCTAACATGAGCAAATGGCAGGAGATAACACCACAGTCCTTTCTGGGTGAGCAGTGGAGTCTAAGGCCTAAATGCACACATTCCATAGTTGCTCTTGAGGCCAGATCCCAGCCTCAGATCACAATATTCTGTGCTGATACGCTAGTTTATAGGATTGTGCCTTAAATTCTCAGCACCCAGGCTGGCCCACCCTTGAGGCCGAGTGAAGCCTCAGGTGGTAGAATCCCATGGGGTGGTGCCCCTGCAGGCACTATGCCTACCCCTGCCATCATGGGGGTTGCACAGCTGTGGTGGTGGCTTCTGTTGAGATCTCGCAAGATCTCGCGGAACTCTTATGAGAGTTCCACAAGATCTTGTGAGATCCTGCCTGAAGCCACCACCACTGCAACCCTGGTACGCAAGGCTTCGCAGGGTGGGGAGAGGCGGGCAGCACCTTCCCATTTTGATTCAGGTGGCAAAATAGGATGAACCGCCACTGTTGGCACTAGCATAAAAACAAATCTGATGCCATTGCACTGACTATTCTGAATCAACCGTGTTTCTGGGGCAATGCTTATTCCCTATCCTTTCCACAGTACGATGGAGGTCCTTGCAGTGATAAAAGAAAAGCTACCATCATTGTTTACTACACTGCTCAAGAGCAGAGGTTTCCATGGCAGGAGGCAATTGGGTATCCCTTGACAGTTGTGCTGCTGGTTTAGCGGCAAGTGCCCAGTGTACTTACTGTTTGTGCTCTCCTGCCAAAGAAGACTCAGGGGATCGGGGTGCCAAGCCAATCTCAGTAGGAATGCATGGCCTGCCGTGAACTGAAAGCAAGAAGCACTTTCTCCCTGCTGTCAACTGTCGATCCCTAAAGCTCAACAACTCTGGTCTCCCCCACCAAAAAAAGCTCAACAACTCAACAACTTTGGTCAATCCAATTTGTATAGTGGGAGTAGATCACAGTCTCTTGGAAGTTGGACACCCCTGGGCTACACCAATTGAAATATAATATAATATAATATAATATAATATAATATAATATAATATAATATAATATAATATAATATAATATAATATAATATAATAATATAATATAATAATATTATTATTATAATATAATATAATATAATTAATATAATATAATATTATAACATAATATAATATAAATCACACACACCCCACATCAAGGTAGATTTCTGCATGGTTTATAAGTATAAAATATTAAAATATGAACTAAAACAATCCCATTAGAACAACAAAACAATTTAAAACAGGAGAGTCGGACTGAGAGATCAAGGGGATGCCTATGTAAGCAAGTGTTTCTGTTTATTGTCAGACATGCCATGGTTTAAAGCATTAGAAGCCTTCATCAGGAAACAGGGTGTCAGCTAGGACTACAGCAAAGTTAGGAAGAGTGACACAGATTTCCCTGAATCAACTTAAGGAGCGAATGGTAAAGGCTGGTTCTGTTTAAGCGGGCACCATATTGAATGTTTTGGTGAGGTAGATGCAAGGCTTTTATAATGGAACCCCTTTTAATTTAACAAGACCAATGTGTTGAATTACTGCCGAGTTATTAAAGTCACAAAGTACAGTCAGAGACCTGTTTAGATCCACTTTAATTTTGACTCTCATTATTCTCTAAATACCTCTAAATCCTTGTGAGTACATTTACTGAAACATTAATGCTGCAGAGATAGGCATTGCTTTGCTTCCAAGAATGCTCACACAAATGAATACATGCCAGCACTTGCGAGAACAATGGATGATTGCCTTATCTAGCAATTTTCACAGCAGGATACTATAGGTTCGAGGAAGCAGGCATCATAGGTCAGACCATCTCTTAATGCAGCATATGCTGAAATTGCTTTAATTAATACATAACATAACTCATTTAATTCTTTCCCTCAATCTAGTGCCTTTATTCATTTTCTGCCCTGGCACCTTATCATCATAATGAATTGCTTAGTAACTATATCATAATGATGTAGAATGCTAATGATGTATAGCCCAAAGCTATGATAACCTTTCATTAAGGATCTACTAAAATCATTCTGAAGAGTTCGGCAAATTTTAAATTTGTGGCTTTAAGTATTGTTTACAAGTACTGGTAGTATATTTTAGAGCATTCCATGCTTTTGAGCTGGAGCAGAAAGGCATGTGGGCCTGGCTTCCTGTAGCATAGAAGGAGGTCTAGTATTTTTCGGCTTTACTAATACAGCAACTTCCCATTTACATGTGGTCTGTTTGCATGTGTCACAAGCAGTGTCAGGAACCCGGAAATGCAGAGCACCCTGGAGAAGACCCTCTCCAGAGCCCAAAGAGGATGCCCTCTTCAGGCCCTGGGCAAGGTCCCCTCGTGAGCCAGAGGCCTTCCTGCCTAACAGCTGGCGTGCAAGGCGGCAGCAGCCACTTCCCCACACGTCAGCTGTGCAAGCCTTGCTGCCCCCCTGCTTATGTGAGCCAGAGGGGCAGTGGGTCTCAGCTCAGCTGATGTGTGGGGAAGAAGCTTCCCCGTGCATCAGCTGTTCAGGCCCTGCTGCCCCTCCAGGGTGCTCCCAACATACACGATTTCAGTTACACATGAGGGAGCCCGGAATGTAACCCCCATGTAAACTGGGAGTTGCCTGTACAGTCGTACCTTGGTTCTTGAACTCCTTGGTACTCATACGTTTTGGCTCCCGAGTGCCGAAAACACGGAAGTAAGTGTTCCGAATTTTGGAACGTTTTTCGGAAGCCGAACATCCTATGTGGCTTCCACTTCAGTGCAGGAAGCTCCTGCAGCCAATTGGAAGCTGTGTCTTGGTTTTTGAACAGTTTTGGGAGTCAAACAGAGTTTTGGGAGTCAAACGGAGTTTGAGAACCAAGGTACGACTGTATTGTCTCTTCCCGGGTTCAGTAGAGGTAAGAATACTCCAGGAGCTTAGGTGATGGTGAGGAGCGTACATAAGGTGGCACTGTCTAACTTTCCCCCCTGAAATGTTTTTGAGATGCACATCTAAGGTGCTATTTTCCATGTGCGTTTCTGTGGAACATCCATACATTTGTAATTTAACAACCACAACCCTGTATTGGAATATTACAGAAAAGCTTTGTTATCGCAAGGATTTTAGGTGGTCTGCAACAATGCTTCTTGCATGACTATGCACTCCTGTGGGCTAGGGCTGCTAGGCCTTTAAGCAGGCCTTTAATTCTGCTACTTTTGTACAGTATTAGTTTCTCACTAGTTGGTTGTATGCTGAGATGGCACAGTTGTGGGAATTTGTATCTTTAAGACAAAGCTTCAGCTGGCATTTAGAGCAGGGCGTAGAGGCTATTCTTAGGAGTTATATATTTTGCTGCCTGAAAAATACCAACTAGCCTTTTACTTTGGTAGGAAACTCATGTGTCACCCAAACATCATGCATAGCTTGTATAACCCCCAACAGTATATAAGTTTCAGAGCACTGCTGCTGGTCAGATCCTCCGAATTGCAGAGTTTCAAAGCTTGGGAATCTCCGCACAACCTGATCTGCAAAGTTGCCGGCTGCATCTCCATCTTCAATAGCCATGTCTGCTGCTGACAGAGTGCCCAGCAGCTAGAGGGATATCGGCAATGCTTTGCGGCTTTCTTTGGGCTGGCTAATAAAATCTTTAGCCTCCATCCCATTTGTGTGCTTGTGTTTTGAATCCAAAAAGAGACCTGCTCCTTGACAAACCCATAGGAAATCATAACATGAATCTCTCACCATCTCATCTAGCTCGGACCCCTGATCTTAACAACAAAGGACATGCAGATATGGGGAGCTGGACCTTCCTCCTTCCCCTTCCTGGGATTCATCACCCCAGGCGCTTGTTCCTGAGTCCCAGCTCAGCTCACTTCCATTCGGGTAACTGACTGCAAACTGACTGCAGAGGGGAAATGCAGAGGAAGGGCAGGTTTGCTTCCCTCGCTTATACACCCACTTTGATCTTGCACACAAGGACAAGCACACACACACCCCTTTCACACACTGGGGGGGGGTTCCTATGATCATGCCTAATTTGGCCTCCAGCATAAAAGAAATCAGGCAAATAAAAAAACTTTTAGGGACATGAGGGGGAGAAAAAATACCCCTTGGTAGCTAAACTAACGGACTACATATTGTTTCCCCAACTTTTGTAATTCCTGATTTCAAAGCCAGTTTTCTTTGGAAGAATGGGTATTGTTAGCTCACCCGTTCTTTTGATATAAAGGTGTACAGAGGACAGGAGCAAAGGAACACCTGCAAACGACAACCTTTAATTAAGGGTGTTAATTCCCTGCCATGTTCTTGTTCTGCTTTGAATACCATTTTGGTGACATCAAGTTAGAGCTGAAACAATTTCCCAGTTCATGCAGAGAAATTCAAAATCCAGCTCTTCTAGATTAAAATGGAAATACAATATTTGAGTCCGATTCTTCACATTAATTTTAGCTCTGAAATGCTCCATTGCATTTCCCACCTGGGAGGCTCCTAATCCTAACTTGACATGTACATACATTGTTTGTGATAAGTTCCAAACAGTTTTAGGCATCACATTTATTAGCAAAACTTAGTCATGGCCACCTGGCTGTTTAAGCTGTATATACCTGACCGAGGCTGCCATCAGAAGCTCACTTAGGAGGAAACATTGTCCACAGAAATAAATTAGGCTTCCTTCACTTCCTTCACTTTTAGGCAACAGCTCTTATATTCTGTTTTTAGCAAATATGACTGATGGTGGATTTTTGGTCTGTCTTTTGTTTAAAGTCAAACTTCTGATATAAATTGCCCACATCCTATAAATGTTAATTTTTAGGAAAGTAAAATGTATTTTCACTTAAGATAAAAATCATACCAATTAGCATATAAATGGTTTCAAATCTCTATTTGCAAATCTCATAAATGTTTCAATGGGTGAAATAAGCTGATAAGTAACAGAAATGTAATGGGAAAATATGAATGCTAAAACGGTGAGTGAATATCTTCCACTGTACATGCAGTATAATTAAAGACACACACACACATTTCCTTGGCAAGAAAGCCCAAGAATGACCAAAGCTGCTGATCGGAAGACAGAAAGGAGTGAAGGGTGAGACCTACAAAGCAATCGGTGTCTTTTGGTCCAGAACAGCCTCCTGCGCATTCACGGTGGCAGCATTCGCTGACGGAGCGCCCGTAACACCTGCCATCACATTGCTCAGCACATACCATCTTCGTCACTGGAAAGGGCAGAGAAATCATAAACGCTATCAGCACAGAACACAAGTTCAGCCTGGACAACTGAGAAACTGTAAGAGAAAAGGGAAATTAAGGTAGGGGTCCCCAACACAAATAAATCACACCTTTGTCTGTTATTCTGTGACATGTTAACATGACCAAAACATACTTCTTTTCAGTTTAGTTAGGTGCTAAGCATTTGTACGGTACTCTCAATGCTTAAGTGTCTGTGGCGCTTTTTGCATAGAGGAAGATTAAGAGAAAACTATAACTTGGCCACACCTCTGTGACACCTCGGCCACCAAGCAGTCCCATCAGGTCCAGTGCTCACCAGCTGCCAGCTGCCCTAACCAAATTACTTATCACACTGTTTAACAGAGCACAAGCTATTGCAGTACAAAAAGCTGAGGTATGGTTTTTTTTAAAGGATCCTTACACCAAATTAAATGTATGCCTGCAAAATATTTCAGATGTGAGTTTTATTTTATATGCATAGTACCTTACTGTCTTATGTAACTGAACGATGCTTTTGCCTAGCATGTTTTTCACAACTAAATATTTTAAAGTTTTGCAATATTTCTTTCAGCAAAAAACACACATTTCAGAATTTACTTGTTTCTACCTGAATGTCATTTGATTAAAGAAATGTGCAGATCCTTAGGGGAAAATATGTGAGGACCTTGATTGCCCTGGGATTTGTTCTTCTAAGCTTAGTAAGTTTGAGGAAATCCTGACTTCTTCTTATCACAATATAGAGATGAAGCCCATTCTTATATGATAAGCTTATCACAGGCAAGCTTATCATATATCTACCCATCTCTGTTGATGGATGAGCCCTGCTCATGATAGCCAAGGCATGATGCCAGTTTCGGGTGACCAGTTTCAAATCATTATGGGAGGGGGGGAAGGTTCTGTTTAAAGGCAATAGGGAAACGACTGCTATTACTGCTATCCTGGAGTGTTCATGTAAGGTTAGTTCTATATTTAAAAATGTAGGAAGACACACAAACACAAGACCATCTCTCTGAAGTGCTCAAATTATGGTGCCACCTATCTTTTCTTTTGTTTGTTTTTTATAATTTTATTTCCAGTTTTCATTTATATACATTTCAATAGCTTAACAATTGTTTTAACATTTCAAACCTTGACTTCCTTCCTCCTCTTTCGGCGGTTCCTTAAATTTATTTTATCATTTCTTGCATATTCTAAATTAACTTAGCTAATTCTTTTATTCATCTATTTTGATTCATCTATTCTTCTGAAACTGCAGGTTATTACAGTAATCCTGCCAATGTCTTTATCTGTTTACAATTTGTTTGTAGATATTCAATAAACCATTTCCATTTTTTATAAAATGTTTGCTATCTTGATTTCTCATTCTTCCAGTACGTTTCGCTATTTCTGCATAATCCATAAGTTTTTGTGTCCATTCATCTCTTGTCGGGACTTCTTCTTCTTTCGATTTTTGGGCAACTAGCATTCCTACAGCTGTACTTGCATACATAAATCAATTTCTGTACTCTTTGGGTAGTCCTATACCTATGATTCCCAAAAGAAAAGCTTCTGGGGGTTTTTTTTACAAATGTTATTTTAAACATCTTTTCCAACTCATTATATATCATTTCCCAGTAAGCTTTAACCTTACAACAAGACCACCACATATGATAAAAAGTACCTTCTTTTTCTTTGCATTTCCAACACTTATTTGATTTTGATGTACAGACTTTTGCCAATCTACCGGGTGTTATATAGATACCATCCATGTAACATTTTAATGTAATTTTATCTTAAACCATAACATGCTGTGAATTTTATATCTGTAGTACCATCTATCTTCTGTGACAACAACGTAGCTTAGAACTTTCCAAACTTTTCATGTTAGCAACACACTTTTTAGACATGCATCATTTCACGACACAGCAATTCATTTTTACTAGCAAATCGGAGGTGAAACTAACCCCTTTCCAGCTCCGGGAGGAGCACGGGGAGCATTTGTGTGACACACCTACACATTGCTGCTGACACCAATGTGTTGTGACACACAGTTTGCAAAGTTTTGCCTTAGTTACTTCCTTCTTTATTGAAGGAAACCTACTTGGATATTTCCAGCTCTCTACATGCCTGACTGAGGAGAGCAGTCTGTTCACAAGATGAGAGATGCTGGCAAGGTTCATTGGGTCAGGAAGGGATACCAGGTTGGGGACTCCTAATGCCAGTCTTAAATTCGAGGCGAGCATCACAAAGCCCCTTAATTCTTCTCTGTCTTGGGTTATAATTTGAGGTCCAAATCAGATTCCCTCAGGAAACAAGCAGAGCCATTTCTGCTGGTTTCTATTTATTTTTATGCAACTTGATTTATTTTTCAAACCAATCACTCAAGTCTAGAGCAAGTCACCCATCTCTACCATACATTTCCCCCTGCTCTGTGTAATCAGGCTTTCTAGTGAAGGCTTTTCACCCACATTATGATCCCAGAAAAGGTGTCAGGCCTCAGCAGGAGTCTGTTCTTGCTGTCAGGTTCTGAGACAAGAGCTTGATGTAGTTTTCACTGTCATTGCCTGAATGTTTTGAATAGATCTTTTATATCTATATCTTTTTGTTGGCATCCGTCTGTCTTGGGAAACAACGGAAGAGGGTGGGGTGAAGCCAAACCGTTGGAGAATTGCAACACTTGATATCTCTCTCTCTCTCTCTCTCTCTCTCTCTCTCTATATATATATATATATATATATATATATATATAGGGTGGCGCTGTGGGTTAAACCACAGAGCCTAGGGCTTGCCGATCGAAAGGTCGACGGTTCGAATCTCCGCAACGGGGTGAGCTCCCTTTGCTCGGTCCCTGCTCCTGCCAACCTAGCAGTTCAAAAGCACCTCAAAGTGCAAGTAGATAAATAGGTACCGCTCCAGCAGGAAGGTAAATGGCGCTTCCGTGCGCTGCTCTGGTTCGCCACATGCTGGCCACATGACACATGACCCAGAAGCTGTACGCCGGCTCCCTCAGCCAGTAAAGCGAGCTGAGCACCCCAACCCCATCTGCGACTGGACCTAATGGTCAGGGGTCCCTTTACATATATATATATATATATATATATATATATATATATATATATATATATATGACTTTAATTATAAATGCTAAATTACTTTTTAATTATTATTTATAGCTGTTCTTAGTTTATCTGTAGCTGCCTCCAGTCCTTGTCAATGAAAAAGTAGGGTATGGCTAAATTAATAGTAGCTGTAGTAGTTAGGGCCAAGCTAAGGACTGATTTCAGCAAAGACAGTGAGGTAAGATACCTGTGTGAATAACTGAGCAGCAATTTGCTCAGACAGGAAATTGGCCTGGAACAACAGATTTTAAAACCCTGAAAATGTCCTTCCTCCTCCTCCTTTAAGGGGTGCTGCAGGGAGGTCTAACAGAGGGGAAGGAGCTTTGGGAAAGTGCTCTCTGAAGCGCCTCATTCCTCCTTTAAAAGGGGCTTGGGTTAAGCTGTGAGGGGATAGGGGAGGAATGGGGGAGGTGCAGAGAAAGGGGGTTTGGTTAGGTATAAAAGGAGGAGAGGATTTGGCCAGATGCAGGAAAAGGGGCTGGGCAAAGGGGCTGCCAGCATGGGCGTAGCCAAGGGGGCGCAGGGGGGCAGACCCCCTCCCTAAATCAAGTAAATAAATAAAAATACTTAACTAACTGAGGTTCTGCCTCCTGCCAACATAAAGCTTGCACCTTCCCAACATAAATTCTCACTATGCCCATGGCAGGCAGTCCCTAGTTATAAAATAGTCAAGAACCGTTTTAACTTCAGTATGTGTGTGCGCACATGTGACAGAGGTCAGAAGACCTGAGACTCAGGTAAAGATTGCACTTAACATATGGAGCAGTAAAGTCTTTTGGAGCCCTGAGTCTAATAATAATAATAATAATAATAATAATAATAATAATAATAATAATAATTTTATTGTTTATACCCTGCCCACCTGGTTGGGTTTCCCCAGCCACTCTGGGCGGCTTCCAGCAAAATATAAAAAATAATAAAATGTCAGATGTTATAAACTTCCCTGAACAGCCTTCAGATGTTTTCTAAAAGTTGTGTAATTCTTTATCTCCCTGACACCTGATGGGAGGGTGTTCCACAGGGAGGGCACCACTGCCAAGAAGGCACTTAGTGCTCTGTCCCTCCCTGCCTATCGCTTCCCTATGGAACAACATCATACTGGCTCCCAGTCCTGCAAAGATGCTGCTCAAAAAGTTCTCTTGCTTAAAGTCCAAGTTCTCCAAAATGAAACAACACCCTACCTGAAAACTGAATCCAGAGCAGTGCACTTTATTCAGCTAATTAGCTATTGTGTTATGAGGGGGGGGGGGGAGAGAGTGCCGTTGGGCCACAGTCATAAAATATGCAGAAGTGGCTTATACAGGTTAAACACTGCTGCGTCCTGAATTCCCAAGGTGGCTGGTGATTCAAAAATGAGCAGTCAACAGCCAAGCTGCACTCTTCAAGGTAATCATTAAATGAAACCTCCTGAACTCTCTATCCAATTTAAATATGATTCACTCTTCAATGATTCATTACATGAACAAACCCCCCCCCAAACCCCCCAACAACTCTAAAATGAATTTTCTAAAGTGTGCAGTAAGAAATTGTAAAAGCTCACTGAGGACTAAATCTTGTGTTTTGCCAATGGAAAGGTGTAACATTGTACTATAATGTTATATAAGATTTTATAATTGATAATTAATTCCACATTTCTAGCACACCGAGTCCTTAGCAATCTTCAGCTTGCTTGTCCTCGCAATGAGACAAGCCAATATTTACAGCTTGTATTTGCTCAAAGTAGCTCACAATGAGTCAGATAAATCACAATGGTTGCATTAACACTGCTTCTATTTATCTACAAATCAATGGTTTTATTCTGGGCTTTTGTTCAGCCTGAACTCACAGGAACTCAGTTCCGGCACCTCTCAGGTGCCATTGCAAGAAAGCAAGGGAGGCGTCCATGGTGA